ACATATTCTTGGGCCTCATCAACCATCAGCTTAGGAATATAATTTATACTCTATCTCTATCTTATTTCGTGCTAATATAATACATTAGCGCATAGATGCATAATGAAATTATTTTAGTAGTTTAGCACGTCACTTTTCTTTATCACCAATTAGTAGTGTAGGATATGAAGTTTTAATACGGATGGAGTACATGTTTTGTTTTCATTGCCTTAAAACTCTTTATTTTGTCTTCCACCCTTGACATTGGTTCTAATCCTTTTGTCCTAGTTCAATCCTTAAAGATAAAATATAATATTTACATTTTTGTAAGAAGTGTCAATTTGTATTAATGTCACCTCTAGAGATGTGTAGGACAGTGTTAAAAGACATACTCCGTACTATGTACATATATACTATTATGGGAAGGACTTTTTAGTAAAATTCTAACGAATCTTTAGCAAAAGGATTAATGCATAACTTTAATTTGTTAAACAGCTAACCACTATCATGATTGAATTCAATATATTGATTACGTAAGTTGTTGTGTTGCATCCAATTTTAATTTAAGAGGTTCAAAAGAAATGAATAATCTTTATGAATGAGTCAAGTACAGCCATGATCTCAAGTGGAATGATAGAAAGTGACTCCTCTAAAGACCAGAAGTCCAGTACCAAAAAAAGAAAAGAAAAAAGAAGAAAAAAAGGAATCCTTGATCTTCAAATAAACGTCTTTGTTTTTTGTAACTTTTTTTTGTTCAGAAAGCAGATTTTAAACAGTTGACATATTTTGTCAATGCTTTGTCATAATCTTATACTATTAACTATTATGAAGGTGTAATGAAACTTCAACTCGGTTGAAAGGGAATGATCAATAGGCATGTAAACGACGCACAATTCTCTTGAACATAACATTTACAAATTTTAGGAATATGGATTATGGAGGAAGGCTGCTAGCTCTATCAATGGACATAACACGGACACGAGTACAAGTATGATACAACTGTGTTTATTTATCTATCTCAATCAAGCCATACATGACAAATATATATGCAGTACTTTGCTCTTAAACAATTGGCATCAAATTCATACATCAATAAGTCTTTTTTATAATAATCAAGGTTTATTATTATCGAATTGTCACATTATGTTCTTTTATGAACAAATATCAACAGGTTATACATGCCACAGTTTGTTCCATACTACATGAATTATTTCACAGAGATTAGGGTTATGCCAAGCTAAGGTCAGATGCCTTGATCTCTACCACATCACAATAACTTATAAAAACCCTAACTCTAGCTATATACAACATTATATTATTACAGTACATTGAGAGTACGAATAATTATTGACTTCATTAACTAACTGATACGGGCTTTATTAAAACTTATGACAAAATCTATGTTTATTAGTATCCTTCAATCAATGTATCTATATACTATATCGACCACAGTTCTATGAACCTCTTAGCTTGAGAGTAGTTTTACCGTACCATGTATATATATTCATTTAATCACGTGTATGTACAACAATTATATGAGCATTGAGTCATGAGATTCACCTGTAGTAAATGTTGAAAAGTACTAAATAGAATAAAATTAAGCATGAAGATTGAAGAGCTAGCAGTAAAAATAAGAAAAGTACAAGTGCAAGAATGAAATGAGACCAAGTATAGCCGGCCATAATAGTGGGTAAAACTTGGATCAAAAGTTTGATTGTTGGTTGGTAAAATTGTAAAAATTTCTGTCAAGTCAGAGAGGCCCATAGGAATGACTTGAATGACCTAATTTTTGGTACAATGACTTCATGATGAAATGCCCATGGTTTTGCAATTCTAACAATTAAAATAATTAAAACTCTAAATCATTATTTAATTAATTGAATATTCCTTAATTTATGAAATCAATTGATGATGACATCAAACCAAGATTTTGCAATTACACGTAACTTCCATAATTGAAAGTTCAAATAAAATGTGTGGCATTGAGGGGGAAGAGTATTTCATAATTTAATTATATATTTAGTATTGGCCCCATTGATTTTCATTGTTACAACCATATACAAAAACATAATAAATCTTTGTCTCAAAAATAAAAAAGGTATAATAAATCTTGATGCATGCACACAAGAATTATAAATTTCAATGTCGTGATTTGTCTTATATCCATAATGACTCGTTCTCGATCTTCATTTGAAAAACTGAAGTAAAATATCCTTACACATTGAAACTGATATATACAAATTGAAGCTTATTAGTATTTCGTTTTATTTATTATTGTTTTTTTTTTTTTTTTACTGGAAGGACCCTCACCCTACCACAAGAAGGGACGGCTGTGAGGAATCGAACCCCCATCACGGGGGGGGGGGGGAGATGGAGGGACTAACCATCCCTCCATTTCTTCATTCCTCACTTATTATTGGTTATAGCTTACTCTTTCCGTTCTTCTTTTATCCCCACCCCATAGTCCACATAAAACTATATTATATACACAAGTATAATATTTCGTAATACCAATGTTTCTAAACAACTCTCTCTCTTACCTAAACAATAAAAATTTGAGACCTACTTTCTACTTCATTATATATATATGAACTGTAAATGGACATATTAAAAAAAAAACGGAGGGATACATCATTATTGAATGAAAAAAATGATTTTATCTAGCACTTGTATTTGTATATATAAAGTTACTCATATTTACTAATTGGAATAGATTTATATTTCTAATTAAAACTGATTTTTACTAAGTATTTCTTTTAATAAAAATCAAGAAGACAGCTTAATTTAGGGGATTTCAAATGAAGTTCAAAAGATTAAGAAATTAAATGATGACACACGTAATGCAACAGGAGGAAAATTTCTAAAGCTAAGGGCAAAGGGGCAAAGAAGGAACATGTATACGAAACAAGTACATAAATACATAATAGCTTTACGTTCAAGTCTATATATGCTGACAAAAAAGTCGAAATGAGAATATAAGTGAGCACACGCGATAACATATAACAAACTTTTTTTTTTTTTCCTTTTTTTTTAGGAAAACATATAACAAACTCTTTAACATCACCTTATAAAAGGTTTTAGAAGTTTTACAATTTTTTTATTTATTTATTTATTTATTTTTTTTTATTTTTTTTGGAAACAAATCAATTCATTAATCAAAAGCTATACGGAATCTACAAATGAAATTTAAATCAACAAATACATAAAATTGAATCAAACAAGGTTTTCCTTCATCAAAGCTACGATTGTTGAATAGATTTTGCACTGTGGTACATCTCTTGCACACATTGCTGGAATATACAACCTTTTCGGAGAAATGGTCTATCGATTTGTTGTAGCCGTAACGATGATTTTCATCTGATTTACTTGATGAACGCATTTGAAGATTCGACAACCGTTGCGATCCCGGACAACTTTTTACCAACGAACTAATAATAGGGAAAAAGATGATTACTTTTTTTTTATAAACCTTAACACACAAAAAAACCATAAAAAAAAAAAACAAACAACTAAAGTAACAAAAACTAACGACTCCACCATAGGGAGACAGACAAACATGTACACTACTCGTGTAGATTTATTGAAATCGAAATTGCAAAGCTAAAGAACATTAAGTGGAAAAGGATCGAAAATAGTCTTTTCCGAAGAAATTAGACTATCTTCGACCTAAACGGTCAAAAAAAATTAGAAAACCCTAAAAGAGAGGAGGAGAGGAAAGTTTTACTAAAATTTTAAGTTTTACAAGTTAATTATACTTTTCACACTATATTTAGCAATACAAATCTAAGAAATTAATATGTTGTTCATAAATACAAAAAAATGGATACCTTAAAGAGGAAAAATAAGAAAATTGAACATATAAATTAAAAACAAATTGATGGCATAAAAAAGAAAACGGTTCAAATATATACGAGGAAACATGTACATACATGAAAGTAAGAAACAGCTCAAAGCCTCAAACACGTATATTATGGAAAATTAAATGGCTAGAAATTCAACTATATGAAATGAGTTGTTATCCAATAATAACCACCTAGACAACTTAGGTAGCAATTAATTACTTAAGATTGGAAATAAATGAGGATAAAAAAAAAAAAAAGGTTTATGAAGCTTTACAAGCTACTTATATCCTTATTAGTTTAATCCATTCTATCAAAACATTGTATGATCACACCAATTATAATCCATTAATTTCATATTCCCATAAATTTAGTAGATTTTGAAAGAATTCAATAAATACAAAACAGAAATTACCCAAATTAGGAATAAATTAAAGAAAAGCTGAAAGCATTCTTGTTGTCTTTTTTATTTTATTATTTATTATATTTTTTTAATAAACTAAAGTAAGACATGAGTCATAACCAATATAATCCTACATAGGTAACTGTTGTTGGTCTATAGTTTAAGAGGAGTAAGTATTTCAACACGGAGATTAGGATACTTATAAAAAAAAAGTATAGATGATGCAATCTTTAGGTATATTGATTCATAAAACTTCAGTTATACAAAGATACGAAACACATTTAAACTTATTCATAACGAGGATGAGGGCATGATCAAGTACCAACTTACAAATGGAACAAACAAAAAGTAATAATTTTTATTTTTTTTTAAGTAATGACAGAAATAGTTAATTACCTTGATTTTAATAAACCTAATCATTAGAACATGAAAGAAAAGCAAAGATTGGCGCATGCAAATTTTATTTTTTCAAAGGTGTGGTAAATGATTTGGCATATTGGCCCCTACCCCAAAAATCCAAGAATGTCTTCTAACTTGTTAATTTGGGCTGTTTAACAGTTTAACACTTGGGCATGGGCCCACCTCACTGAACAAGAAAAGATGGTCAAGACCAATTTTTATGGTTATTATGTGGCCCATGAAGAGTGTTCACATCTATATTCCACGTGTACATATTATATCCAAGGTTTTAACAATATTTTTCAATAATAAATTAAAAAATCAGGTTTCTTACTTTCCTGCAGGTTTCCCCATAAACTTTTGAGCATTCTTTATAATATTTTGCCTATAAATAGAGCCCAAAACTTTACTAGTACATGCCAAAGTTGTATACACTAAGAGTCATATTTACCAACTACAAGTAAGATTTCAAGTTTAGAGAAAGAGTGGGAGAAAAAGGCAGAAAAAATGGAAAACAACTTCCCAATTGTCAATATGGAGAAGCTTAATGGTGATGAGAAGAATGTTACTATGGAGAAAATCAAGGATGCTTGTGAAAACTGGGGATTTTTTGAGGTAAGTTTTGAATCGAATTGTCAACCCGAATTGATAGTGCTACTAGTTCGTTCATATATTATAGTACATTACATTATAGTACTGTTATAATAAAATATGTGTAACGCTTTTTTATTTTATTTCATGTGATTTTAGGTGGTGAACCATCCTATATCAACTGAATTGTTGGACACTGTGGAAAGGGTGACAAAAGAACACTACAAGAAATGCATGGAGCAAAAGTTTAAGGAGATGGTGGCACAAAAAGGCCTTGAAAATGCTCAGTCTGAGATTGATGATATTGATTGGGAAAGCACTTTCTTCCTTCGCCATCGTCCCACCTCTAACATCGCCGAGATCCCTGATCTCAGCGATGAATACAGGTACACCTTTTTTTTTTTTTTTTTTTGTTATGGGTAAAGTTGCGTATATCTGAACTTCTGTGTATGTACTTCATGTTATTGCGGCGAATTGATAATTTTTTATTTGTGATGTGTAATTGTTTAGGAAGGTGATGAAGGAATTTGCAGGAGAAATAGAGAAGCTAGCAGAGCAACTTTTGGACTTGCTCTGTGAGAACCTTGGGCTAGAAAAAGGGTACTTAAAGAAGGCATTTTATGGAGCCAATGGACCCACTTTTGGTACAAAGGTTAGCAATTATCCACCATGTCCTAAGCCAAACCTGATCAAAGGGCTCAGGGCCCACACTGATGCTGGTGGGATCATCCTCCTCTTTCAAGATGACAAAGTCAGTGGGTTGCAGCTTCTTAAAGATGGCCAATGGGTTGATGTCCCACCTATGAAGCACTCCATTGTCATCAACTTGGGTGACCAACTTGAGGTATTTATATATCTTTGTCATACTACCGAGTCAAAATCCTGCATGAGTTAACCTGACTCGTGATAACGGACTAACTAGACACTTTGTGAGAGACGGAATATCTTTATTTAACACATTAATATGACACGTACATTTACTAACCATTTTGATACGTACATACTAGATACGACTATATGAGCATGGGCATAAGTCTCAAGTTAAGCCAAAAACACGCATAGTTATTTTCTAAAATTGTTGAGCCTTACACCTAGATACGTACTTTGTCGATTGTCTAAATCTATGTAACATTACAAATGTAGATATGTATACAATAAACTAAATAGATCAACGTTTCATATTATGTCTGTTCAAATCCGTGTTATTAAAGAAATAGGCCACTCAAAACTAAATTGTACTCCGTAACATATAAATTTGTCGTGTCATGTTTGAGTTTCTTTGTGTCACGTTGGATTTATTACAGGTTATCCATGCTGTAATGTTTTGTCAAAAATACTAATCATAATTTATCATGCATAATTAGCTAAACAGTCTTAACACCAAAATTTTGACTATAGGTTATAACTAATGGAAAGTACAAGAGTGTGATGCACCGGGTGATAGCACAGACAGATGGGAACAGGATGTCAATAGCTTCATTCTACAACCCGGGCAGCGACGCCGTGATCTACCCGGCGCCTGAACTGCTAGAAAAACAGGAGGAGAAGAGTTCGGCCTACCCGAAGTTCGTGTTCGAGGACTACATGAAACTCTATGCAGGGCTTAAGTTCCAGGAGAAGGAACCAAGATTTGAGGCTATGAAGGCAGTAGAAAGCACTGTCAAATTGGGTCCTATAGCAACTGCTTAATTAATAATCCTACCTTTCCTAATCAAATGATGTGTTTACCTATTAATATATAGATATATAAAATCTAAAAGGGTCAAGTTAACTTGTTTTAGAGTTTGTTGTTATGATTAGGAGTTTGGAATTTTTCATCGTTTATTATGTTTATGTTTGATATTATGAGATTCCCATTTATCAATGTGTGTTTTATGTTTGTTGTAAAAAGTGACCAAAAAAAAGTTAAGTTTAAAGTACTGTATTTAATAAATTAGTCTTTTAATTATGCGCTTGATTTTTGTACTTTACCTTAAAATCTTGAGTAAGATCGTGACCTTAGTGTCACATGAACATAGAAGTATGACATAAGAGTACAAGGTTAGGTTAGGTGGTGTTTGCTGATTTTTCTGAATGTTCAAACATGTAAACTTGTACAGCTACTACTTATAAATTGCTACAAAGTCAGAAAATTGACCCCTTTTCTTTTGAAAAATATTACAATAATTACTACTACTTGAAAATGTGTAGAGAATTCTAGACAGGAAAATCTTCAACTTTGCAGACAGAAGAAAATATATTTTACTACTGTACAACAATTATTTGAGCATTAGACAATAATGACAGCCAAATTTAGGCAAGATTTAATTTTTTTTAGGAAAATTCAGAGCAGTAGTTTTCTTACTTTTGTACAGAATATAATGGTTGTAGTCTTGGGCCTCTTGGCAATAATTCTATTGTATGAAAATGATTGTCTACTATCAGATTGGTAATACTAATATCTGGATAGTAGGAACTAGGAAGTACGCCAGCTATGTCATTTATAGAGCTGGTCAAGTCTTGGATTCCGGCCAGGGCACAGCATTATTCGAAGTTGTGGCTCAGCCTGAATATGAATAGCAATTGCTGACCATTTTAGTCTTAGGCCTGCTCGGCCTCAACCCTTGACCGAAATGATTTAGGTCGTGGCTTGACCATGATCAGCTCTAGTCAAAAGGCATAGACAACTGAAGTTAAAATAGTTTTATGAGCCGAGTTCAAGTCAATGTCAAACTAACTTCTAAGTCACATGTGATGAGAACAAACTGACTCTCGTGTTGTACCCTGTACACATAAGATAATTTAACATACATAAGCAGTTCTTTCAATGGATCTCTAGACAATCAAGTTGGGTTAAACAAGAAATGACTAGTGATGTTGTAATGCATATAAGCAACCAACCATAACAAAAAGTCGAATTTGAACAACAATAATATTCCGATTCCTCTAAACCAACTCCCCTGGTCCCGTTATGGGCAAGGTAAGGGGGGTTGAATACTTGAATGTACTCGCAAACTTCTACAAGAAGCAGAGTGGCAACCTTACTCGAACTAATCGAATGTAATGCTGGTGATCATATCAAACAAGAAAATCCTTCAGCCACCAGATAATCTCAGCCATACAAGTTTAAGGGAGCCTTACTCCTGCAATAACAAAGACGGTATCTTATACAAACGGATCAAGATATTGTTTGGTCCACTTCTTAAAAAACAGCAATAATCACATTCAACCATTAATTCCCATCAGCTATCGTCCTATCGATGAAGAGAATGGCCCAGAAAATTAATAGATTATTAAGGTGATGGACCAGTATCTCGCATTTCTTCCCCAAACAGTTAGCTGTTAAGTCTATAATCAACTTGTAAAGCATATAATCAACAGAATCTAATATAAAATTTAAAATAGTCATCACTCGATTATCAATATATACTACATGCTCCTGATGGCTATAAACAAGTACATATACTTTACAGTTACTGGAAACAAGAATCATATGCTATATTATATTCGCGAAGACAAGGAAAGAAAAAAAAAAAAAAACAATGGAACATTAGTAAAAGCAAAGACAGATATTATTCATCTGAAAGATTGCTATTTTCCTACATGTTTTCAGATTAATATTCCAAAGATCAGCTATTCAGGATAGAAGAGTAAGACAGGAGTCAAGTTGCAACTTATCGGTTCAACAATAAGATGTGCCTAACCATTATTCATGGTAGAGTATTTAAACAGGTGTATTCTTCTGCAATAATGGTGTCTTTGAAGCTTGATCAGAATCTAGCAGATAATCTATGTTCGTCAAGGCTCAAAATCCAATCACTTTGCCTGAACTAAAATATACAAGTACATAGTATCTTCCTCTTGTTTAAAACAGAAAAGTGAAATAAAAAGAAGTGCAAGAAGATGAACACAAGATAAAAAAAAAGGGATTTTTTCAGATAGTCATAATATACTACTCGTATGTTACTCTGACTCCACATCTAACTATGGATATGGGACTTGTTATAATTCTACTTTGTCTAAAATAGCGAGTTCGAGTAACATAGCTTATAATTGACAAATGGAGCAAGAGAATCAAAGAATTAGAAAATCCATCATAAAGATTTCATTGAATTGGATACCCATGTCTTTTTGTGTATCCTATGTGACTAATAAAAGGAGAATAAGATATCTAGCATCAATTCTATCCTAATTATCTTTTAAACTAGGAAGGGTATCTTAGGCAGTCTAATTACTACCAAAGCAGCCCACTAAACAAGCGAAAATCCTTAAACAAATGCATTAAGATAGTATATAACTGATATGATGGATGGGAAAGCAGAAGTGGAATTCAACCCAATTATGTAAAGCTCCTAATCTCTGTTTGTCTTTCTACTGTCAAAAGAACAAAATCTAGGAGCCACAGTAATAGATACAAGTATGATTGCAGTACTGATATGAAATAACCAAATTATTGAAATTAAAGTGCAATTATTCAAGGCTATGATTTGTCCCTATCTCTTCTTTGTGAATTGTGATGCCAACAAAACCAATGAGCAACTCTAATCAAGTATAACCACATAAGAGGGAATAATAGAAGGACAAGAATAAAGCAGTTTCGAAACACGATAATAATTTAGCAGGTAAAGGAGACTACATACTCCTTTCGTCCCAGAACTAAGTTGACATACTACTTTTGGGAAGTTATTTTCTTACTTGCCTATAACCACCCAAACTTTTTAAGTTTTTTTTCCTCTCATACTCCTCGTCACTATTTAATCTCCGGGTCATCAAACAATGTTACCTTAGCTCTGGGATGGAGGAAATGATCAACATGATTACTTTTTTTGCAAGTACACAGTCAATTTAAGCAACACGAGCACTAAGTCTAGATAGAGGGGATAATCAATTGCAGTCAAGTTGTAACACCAAATAAATGAAATTTACCTTACCTCCGGGGGGAAGATGAGTCGCGTGAACTTTGACAGTCTATGAAGGACCCTTGGGTGTACACACCATAATGACTAGTACACAAGCAAGCAAAGAATCGAAGACAGCAGCAGTCAACATCTGAATTCTAGTGAGAGCAAGCATATAAATATATGCTACTTCAATTCTAAAAGATATCATCTTTAGAAAACAAAGTATCCATCGATAGCCAATAACAGAATTAAGATCTGAATAACACATCTAAGATACTCCTAGGAAGTAGTACTGGCTAGCTTTTCAACCTACAACTGCATTGCAGAACATTTGTCTGTCAGCAAATCTTGATTGGTGTAATGGCGAGCTTGGCACTCATCATCAACAGACTCACTACAGTTATTTAAACACAATGCAACATTATTTTGTAGGAATGTTTGTCCTGCAATGAGTCGTTCAAGAATCCTCAAAGCTATTAGCTTTATGACTCCACTCATGTCAAAATCCAATAGGATACCATCTTTGAGAGAAAAATCAATACAAGCACCAATGAGATTAGGAGAGGCCGTCAGCCAGTCAGGCACGGTTGCAAGAATCAAGAGAGAGTTCAGATTTGTAGAGAAGCAAATGTGATAATAACACCCCACTATGCCATGAGATCAAAACAACATAGTGATGAAGCTATATAAGCATAAAACCCAAAGACTGAGACATTACGGATATGAAAAGTTTGGCACTCAAAAATTCAATATTAAGTTTAAGCAAGCCAAACAAATGAAGGGAAAAAAAAAAATGATCTATCAATCAGAGGTTTTAACTTATGAAGATAACAAAAATGCTATATTCGTGTAACATAAACATCATAAGCACATGTTATTCTAAAACCATCAACAGCCATCATATACTCTTGCTTTAGTACCCGAGCACCAATATTCGGCCCTGGATTATGCATTTGAAAAGGGGTGAAATCTACCCTGTCTTTACCTTGCTCTATAGGACACCCAGGTGATGATCTCAAGCTAGTGACATTCCTGACTTGCCTGGAAAACTGGAACGCTCATAATATATCCGCTTAAATCATGTTGCCTCAACTTGGACACCTGTTCCAGAAGACACAACTGCATTATCATCTTTCTTCTCCTCTCCTCCAGCTGCATCTCCATTGGAGCAATGATTGCTTGTAACTGTAGAAATGTCAGCTTCTGAAGCTCCTGCTAACTTAAAACGTTCAACAGCAGCATCGAGATTCTTTTTCCAATTGGCAACTCCCAATCTAAATTCAATTTGAGAGCACTCAAATAGCATATTACCCCAGAAGAGATGAATCTGTGATCTCATTACAACTGCTTGCTCAGCCAATTCCTCAGGAGTAGGCTCACTAGGAATCTTACCTGAGGATTCGCCATCATTTCCTGATTTCTTTCTCCTTTTTAGCAACTCCTCCACCTTACTTGAATTTGGGTCTTTCAGTTCATTGGCTCTCTGCTCCTCTAACTTTTCCCACATTTCAGTAGCAGCTTTCATCTTCTCCTCTGCACTGTCAAAGAGTTTGAATGTCTCTGTTGAATCCCAGCTTGAAAGATCTTCTTTCTTTGCCAGAGCATAAGACCAGTGAAGCTTTGCCATCTCAAACTGCTGCTGCCCCATAGCAAGTAACCCTTCATAAAAGTCTGGCTTGATCGAAAGTGCCTCCTCATACTTCTCCTTGGCTAAGGAATACTTTTCCTTAACCCAGTGGTATGCTTTCTGCAGCTGTGCCGCCTTAACCTCCTGAGATGCATTCTCATCCACCGGGATCTTTTTCCTTGCAGCACACATATGAACATTTCCCCAGTTAAAGAAAGCCAATGCAGCAACCTCCTGAAACTTCAGAGCAGCCTTATCAAAGAGAAGTTGTGCCTCTTCACTTGTGACTGTCTCTTCAAGAGCCTCAGAACACAGTTCCATTCCAATCTCATGCAGATCAACATGAGCATCAGGATCAATGCCAACATTGTTTCGGAAAAGCTGAGCAAACTCAAACAACCAATCATCCATCTCCACCTCCTTACATTCTCCATCTTCAACCTCTGGCTTTCCTTTATGGGTTTCTATCGATGTTTTGTCATCAGCTTTGTCAGCCTCAGTCCCGATGGAATCCACTCCACAATCACCAAGCGAAGAGTGAGAGCCATTATCTCCCTTGATTTCCTCGCTGTCCATTGGCTTCTCCTCTTCTTCTTCTTCTTCTTCTTCTTCTTCTTCTTCTTCTTCTACTATTGATGGTTCTTGTTCAGGGTTCACTTCTACAATATGCAATCTTAACATTCCAAATGACTCTAACTTATCACTTTCTGGATCTTTAGGTACAAGGTTGTCCACATAAGCTTCAGCCAACTTTAGCTCACTGGTACAAGTTATAGTCACCAAATCACCATCGGAATCTTTGTACTTGATCAAAACAGATTTTGATGATGGAAATCGTTGCCCCACTATCTCCCTTAAAACTCTGAAGCTGCAATTCACTGGCATTTGGGCTAGTCTTATATCATGATCATACACAAGCTTCAATTGCCTCCATTGAATAGCGGCCAATTGAGATGGCCTGGGAGCAGACATGGAAGTGGATGATGCAGGTGCTTGCTCCTTTAAACTACCCTTCAATTGCTTATCATTGGACTTAAAAGAACCAGTTGCAGGTTTCAAAACAACCTTTGGCATTTGTGTTTTGACATCAGGACCATTTTCTGTTGCTGCAATTTGTGGCTTTTCATTCTTGTTACTCGATGCACTGTTGGTTCCCCCACCAACCCCTGCACCCTTCTTAGGTGGAGTCCTAGCAGGCAAACACGGGCCAAGGCCAGCAATAGGTGCACCTCTAACCGCAGAAGCCCCAAGAGCAGCAGGCGATGGGCGGCTCTGGAGATCCTGTTGAGCCTCCTGACGAGGCCCAAGAGCCGTCCGAAGCCTACGGGCAATATCTAAAGCATCCCCATGATTAGGATCAGAACCCAAAAGAATTTGCACATCCGCCATAGCCATTTCATACTTCCCTACAGCCTCATAAGCTCGGGCCCTTCGCAGAAGAGCCCGAACAAACCGAGGCTGAACCTGAAGGGCCATAGTGCACTCAGATATGACACTGTCATAATCAATTGGTCTCATTTGCATCAAACAAGCAGCCCTATTGCTATGAAACACAGCCCTATCAGGGTGGGTTTTGGGGATTAGCTTAATAGCACTATCATATTGTTCAAGGGCACCCACATAATCTTTGGCCTGAAATCTCTTATTTCCTTCCTCTTTTAGCTCATGAGCTCTTTTCAGAAACACAGCTGAATCCAAATCTATGTTACCATTACTAGCAATGTTTGCATTGTTAGGAGCAGCATCACTAGCTACACCTTGGTTTCCTGCCCCCTTCTTTCTCCTACCCCCAGACTTCCCCATACAATTTCAAAATTATCCCAGAATTATACAAAAAAAACACTGAATTTCTGACAATTTTTATCAAAAAGATTCAATCTTTACAATTATTTGAGCAATTGGATATTCTAAATTATGAATTTCGATACAAAAATAGATAATACTAAAGAGAAATAAAGATAACCCACTTACAAATAATGAAAGTTCTGACCTTTGATGATAGATTGGTGTTATCTGATAGCCCAGAAAACGCCTTTGAGAAAACCCAGAGAAATGGTGAAGATAGATTTGATGGAAACGATAAACACCCCTCGATGAATGTTCTAGAAAGGGTGGGAGAGGTGTAAGATGGGGTTTATGGAAGAGTTTTCAGAAGAAAGAGAAAAGTGAAACCCTAAAAAAAAAAAGGTAAAAATTGGGTTCAAGAACAAGTCATGGAGCTCAATCTCTTCTTTTTGCCCATTCCAAAAATGTATTTATCCTTTTTCCCTATTTCTATTTTGGTACTAAAATATTTATTGTTGATATTCCATCTCCCACCTACTTTGGATTTTGCTCTAGAAAATTAAGATAAATTGTGGATAGATTGTAAATTGTATTTCTCCAAAAATGCTTAAAATAGAATACACCTATGAATGATGATGTATTAGTCATTTAAGCTAGAATGTTTTGATGCATGACAAAAACAATATGGTATGTCTCATGACTTCATTTTTTATTTTTTACAAAGAGTTAGTTGTATCTTAATTACTATTGACACATTGACATCAATAATTTGATATAGCTTTATTATAGACAATTACATCTATTGTCATAGACTATACATCTTTTTACAATTCGACATCATAACTTTCAATATAACTCTGAAATTGTCATTGAATAGGTGATGTGTCAAGATTTAGGTCACAAATCTCATTACAATCACTTTTAGGATGAAATTCAAGGCTCCCATAACTATCTTTTTATTTGTTGCAAAAAGTAGTCTAGACCTAGTTCCTTTTATTAAAAAAAATTTAGTGTCTGATTGTTAATAGTTGCATTATTATAATATTGTTACCTTAGAAGACTTGCCTCTTGATTGAAGGTATAATATATACGAGAGTGAAAATGAAATTAAGAGAGCCATCAAATATTATTATTATTGGCTTTTAAGCGGGGATGTGTATCACATACTAGTATTAGGGGTATATAGTTCACAAAATCAATGCTCACTGGTCAGTAACAATAATGGTGAAATTTTTCCAACAAGCATGACAATTATTGATCACAATGAGGGTCGCTAACTTTTACAGTAAAAAAGGAATTAAAAAAAGTAAAATGAGTTGCATTAATTTTAACTCGAGATTCATATTGGGGTGTATCGTGTATTGGTAATGAAAAAACAATTCATTAGCCATTAAAAAGTATGTAATAACGATGAAATTTTCTTAAAAATATGAAAGTGGTTAGTCGCAATGTAAAGGTCTTAAACTCTCAAAATATATTACGAAGTGTTCTCTTCTTTTTAAAAGTTTTAAGGTTCAATTGACCTTAGTAAACCTTACGTAAATTACATTGTAATCGACCACTATTATTATTGATATTTTTTTAATTTATATAAAAAATAATAAAAAATAAAAATAAAATCAAGGAATGATGAGGGCATAATAGTAAATGACCCAACACAAAACTAGGGTTACAAAACTTGTAACCGCCCTCTTATAAAACCTGGCTTTGAACTTGTATTTTCCTATCTTCACTCACTTTAGCTTCATCGTTTTTTTATTTTATTTTTTTTCAGAAGTAGTATTTTCAATCTCAATCTTCCTTTAATTTTAGTTAAATTTTGTTCAATGTTTTATGAAACTAAGCCTTAGTTCGTATAATTAGAGGGAAGATAAATTATAATTATCTTTCATCAATCGAAAAAGAAGGCAAAAATGAAGACGAGCTATCGTTTCAGTCGTCATCTTGTACATCTTTTTTATCTATTGACGATTCGATTGTTGACTCGCCTACATTTTTAATCTGTTTTCTAGGGTTTATGATTTTTTTTTTGGGTTTTTCGATGATTTTGATGATAAATAAATATTAAATAGAGCGTATATGATGGTTTATATTATGCAGAAATTTGACACGAATGGAAAATTTGAATCTTTTCCTTGTGGACAACTTTATTTTGCTGATGCGCTTTTAAGTTATAAGTGTTCGATTTTAAAACTACTTTTTGATTTGATTTTGGAGCAATTTTTTGATTTAATTTTGAAATAATTTTAATGGAAATCTTTTTCGAATTTTTGTTGATAAGATTTGTATGATATGTTAGTTATGCTTATGAATTGATTTAGCTGTTTAACCTAAGCAAATATTCAGTAATCTCATTGGATTTGTAAATGGGTTTCTCGAATGATTATTTTTATCCCGAGAGATTTGAGGACTGTATTGTTTGTTAACTGATTGATCTTGAACTTTATCGGAAACTGATTGTGCTCGAACTACTGATTGAGTTCGTACTGAAAGCTGATTGAGCTCAAACTGTATCGGAAACTGATTGTGCTCGAATTACTGATTGAGCTCAAACTGTTCGGAAATAAATCCACCCTGAACTACTGCATATCGAAAACTGTTCCCAATCTATGGACAAATGTGGACTTACGGAGTTCTTGTAATAATTTCGATGAGATTTACAACTATTAAGGATACTTTCAATCGTGCAAAAAAATGTGTTTAATTTGATCTTTGTGTAAGAGAGGATACTGCATCACACAAAATAAGAAAAATGACTATTCCTGAATCCTGAACATTATATGGAATTTGTACAATGAGTAGCAGCTGCCCTGATATAAGAATGTTGAAGGGTATTTGTTATGTTATCTACTCTTTGAGCATGAAAATTGCATTTGAGTGTTTTTCAAGCTTGAAATGTCGAACGTCTCCACAAATCTCTGATCAGATATTCTAGATTTCACTCCGGCAAATCTCTGGTACTCGTCAAAGATTGAGGACAGGCACCATTTCTGCAGCTTCCTTAAGCATCCCACAAGACATCCTGTTCGGTGCTGCATACAAACATAGATGATTTACCTGATTGCTACTGCTTGAAACAATGCGACTGCTATAATATAAAAGCAAGAAGCCAAGAAATACAGAGGTGATGATCATACCTTTCCACACTTGCAGTGTATAAGAACTGGCTGGTTTTTTGCATCTGCTTGACACAGGAGAAGAGAAAATAAGGCAATTGAAACTGAAATTGTAATCTGAACATAGATTTATGGCTTAATAAGCTCTACATACCTAGAGCAGTTTTCAGAGCTTCACGTACCCTATCTTCAGGAATATTAACGAATGGTTCCTGCATAAATTGAACATGTTAGCTAATGCTAACCCATTATGTATACACGCTAACAAGTTTAATCAAAGAGTTGTGGTGCATAATTAGCTTGCATAAGAGTTTCTGTGATGTCAAATGAGTCTACACTATCAAGCATAGAAATACCAGATAATAAAGTGAAACAGAGCAAAACTCTCAAGGTAAGCGACAATATAGGTATGCCATGTATAGAACCAGCTTAGGTAGTCTCTACTCTTAAGGAAAGCAGCAGTCTCTAGTTGAGCTATCAAGAAGATTAACATGAACTATATCTAACAAACAAAACTCACAAATCATGTTTATAAATCTAGTGATTTTAAAAGCCGGCTCTAAGCCTCCAACAGCATGAAAACTTTCAAATCCTGAAAACACTCGATTAGCAAAAAAAAAACACTACTTTGTTGTAACTATCCTATGAAGAAGTTCTGGGCACCAACAACCCTTTTAATTCCCTGCAATCCAAAACAAGGTTGCTCAAGGCACATGAGAATATGAACAGAAACAGTCACTAATATCAGTCCGCCACAATGATAACGTAGCTTGTACAATGCAAATGGTGATTCCAAACTTACATTCATCATTTCCTCTTTAACACATTTTCAGCAGTTTAGTTTGAAAATTTTAGGTGCTCATTTAGCAATTTTGTCCGAGCTGATTAGAAGAACGATAGATTTCGTGCCAGTTAGCATTGAGCTTAAACATGAATTGACTTTGGAATTTTTTCTCAAAGTAACTTGACAATCACAGTTACCTATTATCATAATTCTACAACACAGAAAACAGCAGCAACAACCATCACCTCATGCAGATTCCAATTTTGGCTACAGAATACAAAGAAGTCTTCAAAGTTGGAATTTGCCAAGGCTACTAAGCTGGCAAATGTAATATGATGTCAGTCACTACATTTTAACCAGTTATCAATTAAAGAGTCCAACTTTCTGAAATTCCAAAAGAACATTTTTTTCTCCTTAACTTCAAAAGGCCAGTTGGTGTACTTCAGTACTTGCCATATATCTCATGCAAATATTCAATAAAAAATTCAATAAAAAAATTTCTCATACAAATTTCTACAATTGTTGCTAAATAATCTTCTTTATTCTCTTCTTTAGTCTTTATTCTTAATTCCTTATTCTTAAATCTTTATTCTTCTTTTCCACAATAAGCAACTTAATCATTTTTCCGTGGATAGATCCCAAAGCCAAGTCAATTCATCCACAAATTCACGATAAGAAGTACCGAAACCACCAACAGGTGTTTGTATCAAGTAGAAGAATCTTTCCCCCTATTAGATTCTAATCCGGCTTAAAACGGATTAATTAGTCTAGTAGGTTCTAAATTATCGGGTATGTTATAAAAAATGTAAAAAGGTGACAAAAATAACTTCAATAAAAATACTTTAATTACTTATATCCATAATAAACTATATATTGCTCACAATGTCACTCCATATTACATTGACTACATGCTTAACATTCATTTGACCAATTCAAAGCTTAAAATAATGATCAAACTTTCCAAAAATCAAACCTTGCTCATCTCAATGCCAAATTGAAAGAGATGAATCCCATTTTCTTTCAAGAACTCCGCGATCGCCTCCGGATATGGCTCTGGACACAAACATCTACAAAAGCACACCATTAAAAAAAAAAAAAAAAACAATTTTAGAATCAATTTATTTAAAATATAGTGTAAAAATCAGTTAAAAAAAAAAATCGAGGTCAAGAAAAGAGAGGAGAGAGAATTACATGACTGATCGGAGGCCTAGGGTTTGCAAAAACTGTAAATTAGAAGTGTCGGGAAACCCAGACCTGAAAATGCCATTATCAACCATTGCAAAATTCAATGGCGGAACGTACGAAATCTCGTCGCCGACACCGACGCCGCCATTAACGCCGCCGATTGAACTGTCATTTTTCATGATTTTCGCGCCAAAAATCGGGAAACAAAAATCGTTGGATTCCCCTTTTTTTTATATAAATTTTAAAATTTAATTTAGTTATTGTTGTTACAATATTTTTTGTTTTCATGGGATTTTTTTATATTGGGAATTTTATGCGGAAGTTGGAGAGGTGGAAGACAAAGAGAATGAGGGAATCATGGAGGATATTTAATGGTCTCTACTTTTTGTTATGGTTGGATTTATGAGGCTAGTGTGTATTGTGTGTTGATATTAAAAAGAAATGTATGTGGAGTCGTGGAGAGCAAGCAATATGAACAAGAATACTCAAGTAGTCAAGTATGTAGCCATTGTAGGCCGTGTTAGAAACGGGTTCAATATAGTTGTGTCGATCAGTTATATATGAAGCTCCATGCATGACCCCTCGACCCATATCAATGTTTTATGGCCCGACATACCTTTTAGATAAATTTAATAGTTTTCATTTAACATAATCAGGTTGATAATATTTTAGCAGTGTAGCAATTTGCTTTTCAAAATATTCATATAAATTAATTTCAACTAAATTAAGTCAAGTCAAACAACAAATGAGCTAAGTTAAGCATAATTACAGCAAAATAAGTTATATTATTATTCTCTGCAGTTTTAATATATATATATATATATATATATATATATATAATAAATAAATAAAAAAACCAATTTCATTTAGTCAACTACATTTTTTTTTTTTCAAATTTAAAGTGTTGGCCCAATTTTAGTGGTACAGTGCATTTACTTAGATGGAATTTTGAACACAAGTAATGATAAACTTTGGCCAATTTAGCTAAAAAAGATTATCAAGCCATGTACCTATGGCATTTGTGACTGTGAGTCTGATTAAAGGTTGATCTAGCCAACGAATCAACTTCGTAACAAGTAAAATAGAGGCGATAGAGCGCAGTAGCAGCGCATATATTATTTGCTGACATTAACCCAAATACAGCCAATTGGTAGGTAGCACACAAAATTTCAAACACTTCAAAAGATCAATCCTTAATACGAAGTATATAAGAAGCGGCTACTTCATTGATTATGAGCAAGTAGTGGCAGCAATAGGAAAAGTTACCTAAGCGTCATGGAAACGACTGTCAAAAGTGCAGGGTGTTGAGTACTACATCACTGCAGAGTGCAGACAGCCAACAATGTAAGTTGTATGGGATATAGCTTCAAGAATAATCTCATCATTACCGGCCAACAACCTTCAGGCTAGAACTCTAGATAGCCATATAGATCGATTCAAGCTTTTTCTATGATCATATCCGCTCTCTTCCACAAGGAAGGAACAAATCAAATAGTTACATGGTTCCTTTCGATAATGAACTCCTAAAACTGACTATATACACAAAAGGAATCAGCTAGAAGGAAGCTACAAGAACTTTCCATGTCATATCTACCTCTGTGACTTATTTCAGGTAGCAAGTGCAAGTAGTTTGACATTTCCTTGACTGTTAGCAGCCATAATCATGGGGCTGTCACTCTTCCAGCAAACTGCACTGATAAAGTGTGCTCCTCGATCCTCATCAGCATCATACAATTCTGATGAATTGAACTTGTATCGAGCAACAGGCTTAGAAATAGCCTGCAAGTGAGAGGGAAATTGAATTGACCACAGAATTACTAAAGATATAGCATTTGCAATACAAGTAGTTTCCATGTCCTATTTTCTGTAAGGACTGTATTGATTGATTCAAACACTTTCTATAATCAAATGAGAGGAAGTTACAAGTGTTAGCATTGTCCTATATTTTTGGGGTCATTTACATACCTTATGATAAACAAAGACTTCGTTTGATTCACTGCCACAAGCAAGGTATTCGCTATTTGCAGTGAGGCCTACAAAATTCTTTTCATTCGTATGACCTCTATACACCTGAAGCTGCAACGCGGTGGGAAAATAAATGAGCAAACAAATGTAATTGATTAAGCAATCTTTTCGAAAGAATGAACATGATTTTTCCGATTAATGTAAATCTGAGCCCCACTTTCAACTGGATTTTGGAATAAACGAAATACCACCTCTCCTAAACTTAGGCGTGCATAAGCCTCACAAGTCATAAAGGTATTAAACATGATTTATTAATCATTTCAATTTTATCCTTCTTGAACCTGCATATCAAAATTTAAAATTCCCACCGAGTAACTAGTTTCTACAAAATATTACCAACTTATTTTCCTTGACATCCCACAAGCGCAAAGTGTTATCAGTTGATGCAGAAGCAAGTTCGTTGGCAGATAAGAAATGAACATATGAAACAGCTTTTCTATGACCAGAAAAGACATGAACAGGCTGGCTTATATTTCTTAAGTCATAATAGTGAACATTATGATCTGCAGAGCCCACCTGCACAAGATAACAGCCAGCATTAAAAGTTGAAGTAATGAAAGACGCTGAAGAAGACACATAGAATAACACTCATAATCAAGGATATGAAATGATTAAACAATAAAATTCCTTTTCCATACACTTGGGCCATTCCTATCCTTTCCCCCAGGTCACCACTATGAGGCTTAATAATGAAAGTGACAACCTTATTTGGATATCCTAGCCTCCTAGGTATGTAAATAATTAACATCAATTCTAAACAGAGGGAACACTTCAGAATAAGCCCGAAGATTCCACTGTGATACGTATACGACAGTTGAATGAAGTCCACAAAAGCTTTGAAATATATTAGAAGAAACAGTCACGTAACTATATCTCATAAGACATCAAAAAATTACTGAATTGAATTTAAAGAAGAGGAATACTTACAGCCACATGCATGCTAGATCCAGGATTACACTTCACAGAGCATATATTTGCATTCAAGTCAATATTAAGAGCACTCTTTTCCTGTTTGGTGCACCAAACTTTAACCTGTTGAAAAGCACCCAAATTGCAATGGATCCATAATGAGCTGTCTATCTGGAGTGCTTTATAATATTTCACTAACTATGATATTAGCCTACTTTCAAAGACATGCCTGCAGCTAAATTCATCACAGATTCCTTCATCCTTTTTCTTTGGTGTGTGTGGGTTGGGGGGCGGCAATACCCAAGGGATCACCACATATGATAATTTAAATGACTTAGATTAAGTTCATTTCAAGAAACAGTTGTCTAAGTTCCATCTTCCAATTTCTTTATCATCAGTGTTGTGTTCGCAATTTCCTACTAGTAGAATTCACCATAATCATCGAGTTTATTTCCAGAAACAGTTCTCTATGTTTCATCTCTAATGCCTACTAGTAAAACCTAGGCTTTTACACTGAGGCCAATCTGAGAGGAGATCTGCCACAAGAGAACTTGAGGCCTTAAAATGGTACACCATCACCAGATTCAACACCACTCAATAACAATATCGCTGCAGGATGGGTCAGTACTGGTGCCAGCCCTGCCAGGTGTCACATATGTAGCCTCGCCACTTATAACTTGTAAGAAAAGATGGTGTTTGACAACCTCCAAATAGTTGAACAAGAGATTCACCATGACAAAAATTCACAAAATGGCACTAACTGAAAAGACAGGTCCAAAATCATATACAGTATAGATAGAGCATTATAAGATATGAAAAGGATGGATATTCACTTTGACCTCAACGACAATATATACAACCTTCAGGTTAGGTAAACTTTCACCACTTATCCCTAAAAGCTTTCATTCAATTTCTTGTGAAAAGGAAGCCCTATGTATGTAAGATACATAAGCAGTATCTTGAAAAGCATAGCCCAAAAGACAGGTAAGCACCATTTACCTTGCAGTCATCCCCACCAGATACCAACAGCGAAGGTTCAGTACGCGAAAAATCCACACTCCAAGCCCGTTTTTCATGCTCCTCGTATTCTCCAACACTCTAACAAAGTTAGCATTACTGAAATAAGTCAAAGTCCAACCAAAACCAGTAGCCTAAGAATGTAGAACAAGCTTAATGGAACAAAACAGCTTATTAGTACTATTAATACCACCTGATTAGTAGCAATGTCCCAAACATTTACAATCCCCTCATAATCACTGCTGGCAATACAGTGTTTGGTATACTTATTCCAACTCAAACAGCTTAGTTTAGATCGTGTAGCAATGTCAACAACAGCACAGTGCACTTCTGCTGGTTCATCAATCACCTGAAGATCAATTTGTTCCCAAGGTTAAGTACTCAAATGACAATTACAGCAAAAGATCTTATGAAAATAAGCGTGTCCGAACAAATTTAAGGTAAAGCAAGAGGTATTATTTGTGCATGGAACACAACCCTTCACATTCATTAATGATCTACTCTCCAAACTTTTAATCATTCTTTTTCTTTCTTCTTCATTTTTTAAGTTGGGGGGGGGGGGGTTGGTGCTAGGAAAATAAAATACTAAGATGAAATATGTTGTAGTAGTGTACATCCTTCTCTTGAGCATGAAAGACCTTACAGTGGAAAATTCAAAAACTTTAATCCGCTTGGAGACACCAGCAGTAGCAAACAATTCATGATCTCTGTCAAATTCTATGCTGCAAAAGAAAAAACACATATCAAAGGTGGTGAAGAGGCAATTCAGAATATATCATATTGTAACTTGATCATCAATTAGGGATAGAATAAGATAACAGACAAAAAGAAAGAATGAACAGCATGATGCAAAGGTCAAAGCTAGTTCTACTAAAAAAAGGCAGTCAGTTTTAGACCTCTCTACCACGTAATTGAAGCAAATTACAGTGGCAAACCATACACTAACAAACCAGTTACAATCAGGATAACCGAGACTTGTTCTGACAAAGGATTATACAGAATGAATTGAACATTTCTAGCTCACACAGACTTGCAGATATATAAGATGTAAGGAGAGTTTTATTTTTTTATTTTTAAATTCTGGTGAAAAAAGGATAGATAGAGAGACACTGAGAAAGTAGCTAGTCCCATTTCTTCAATAAAAGTTGCCATAAGTAGATACACTCCACGTAGCATAATAGTGCGTCCATAGCATGTCCATCACTAGCAAAACTCATAAACATTGAATTTTGATGATATCACTAAGCTGCAAAGCCAGCAAAGAATGACACACTGATGTTCATTTATTAAAACAGAAGAAGCTTCTAGCTTAGTGGCTAATGGCCATAATCAAGCAAAATATCTACAACCAATACTTAGCATATAAACAGGTACAAGTGAGCCTCTAATCATCAAAAATTACATATCAAAGTTCACAGTATATCAATGACATGGAGCACAGTCAATCAAAAGAATTAAGATTTCAAAGAAAAGACCCACCTGGAAATGATATTGGCATAGTGAAAAACGTTACCAAGCCTCAACTCTGAAATAGGCCTCAACTGGCTGTAACAATACCACCCAAAAAAAGAAAGAAAGAAATTGAGCGTTTCAATAATCCAACTATGGGAATTTAAAGTGTACTGCAAATAACAGATATGATGTATACGGATATACCTGTATCGAGTACAGGAAGTAAGCACAGACTGAAAATCCTGAAGTCCTGCATGATAGCCTAAGCTATTTGTATGATTCATATGGCTTCCTTCTGCTGGTTGCTTTTGTTTGGCCCAGTTTCTCCTTTTTTGCAGGTAACACTCTTGCAGTTCAGTGAACTGCAGAAAATTATTGATAACAAATTAAAAAATTTCAATGCTCAACTGAATCTATTGTAATGAAGCTTCAATTTAGTCAACTATTCAACCTATTTAACAATATAGATAAGAGTCATCAAGCACAAGTTCATTATGCAGCTGAAAAATTACTGACATACATCTTTCATATACATGCAGACTTCAACTGAATTCAAGGGAAGGTACTATAGTTAATTATTGAGCCACCATCAAGAAGTTGCAAGACCTAATATCATGACAATACATGACAGCTGAATGTGAATTATGGGTGTAGGCTGTTCAGTTAATCTTCACTTAACAAAACATAACAGCTCACACATGTAAATTGTGTAAAGTGTAATATAAATGCTTATTGACTTCTTTAAATACCCACTACGGAGTACTACATATAAATTACAGCGATTATCAGAAATTTCAAAAATACAAACCTGTGTCTCAACCTGCCTTTTTCTTGCTTTAAATTTTTCAGTTGGAGCCTGCTGTTGCAATTCTGAGCCTGCACGAACATCGTTTTCTAAATGTTCTTGAGAGCATGGAGCACCTAAATTGCCTCCTTTACATTGAAGACTTCCTGGAAATGTCTCTTGTGTACCAGAACCACCAGCCAAAGGCCTCCGTACTTTATCACAAAAACCTTTTGTATCAAAGTCATCTCCTCTCAGTCTCAATCTAGCTGTATGACTCTTGTTTACATTCCACAATTCTGTTTTGTGCTTTTGAACAGCATCTATGTCCTCTTTGATGTACTGGAGATCATTTTGTATCTATACGAACACCGTAAGATAGATTTAAAATACTATTTACCACTAGAGTTGAAGCTTAACATACTAGAATAGCAAAAAAGTACAACTGCATAGGACAGTAAAGAAGTACAACCACACCTAAATAAGCTATTAATGCAACTCACATGCGACAAGGAGAAAGGACAGAAGGATAATAATTCAAAACATAGTACAGTATTAGATAAAGTACATCAAACTAGCTTTAACGAGGAGCCAAAAAATATTATCAGGTAATGCTACAGGTCTAATACAATAGTAGCAGCAAGTCAGCAACAACAACAAAGCCTTAGCCCCAAAATGACTTGGTGTCGCTACTGTGTCCGCTAACATGAATCATCATAAGGAACCATCCGCAAAGAAAAAATGTTATAAAGAAAGGAAAGTGATAAAATGAAAGTGGGCAAAAAAATCGAGAAAAACATAGTGAGCAAAAATGGGGGCAGTGTAAACTCTGTAAAGTAAAAACCAAAAAAAAAAAGGAAATACAAATAAAATTTGATTAAAGCGGGCAAGGGCATATAAAGAGAGGAATAACATGGAAGTAAAAACACAAGAAAGTTTGAGAAAACCTACTAGTCTAATACTTCGTAAAAAAAAGCCAGCTAAAAAAATCTAGCAATATATATAATTTTGACCTTTTTCGGCTATACCACCATAATTAATAGATATGACTATACAAGTACCTGATGAAGAAGTGATAGAAGTGTTAATCAACCTTGTCACAAAAGGGTGTAAAAATGTTTATATATATATATTTTTTATTCCATAAGTAATAAGTTAAGATACTTTTATATACTAAGCATTCAACCAAAGATTTTTCCATCACAACTAAGAAATAAATACGCAATACCATCAGTAGATGTCAAAGAGAGAATCAATGGGTAAAGAAAAACAAGAGCATCCAATAATGCTTTACATTGTTAACAGAATGACGCAAAGCTCACTCAGATGACTTTTATTAGTTTCGTATGCAATACAGGCTATAGATCAAGGGGCTTGCACTACCTTTTACGCCGATGCAACCATTTCCTACTCAACTTCAACTCTATGAGCAATTAAATTAGGATGTATTACCTACAAAGCACTAGCTCTTACAGGAGAAATAATGCATCAAACATCACCAGATAATTTGAATTTAGCTGAACACACCTGACTAAGCTCTTCCAATTTTCTTTTTCTTAAGCAGACCAAAAACTCAAGGAGAACTTGCAAGTTTGTCTCAGCCTCCTCTTGCTCCATTTTTCTCTTCTTTTTCGCAAGTAGAGACAAAAGGCAGTCAAGATCCTTCACAGACACATCACAATCCTGTCTACAGGTTATATCAAAGAGTGAATACCAATTTAAATAGAATTAAAGCCACAGTTAAAGCATAGAATTAAATACATGGAGAAATATTCTAACAATACTTCACTCACACCAATTTGATAATTAAGAATTCAGACCGATACTAGTGGGAAGAGAAATATTACAGGAATAATCAGTTAAGAAAAAAATTGCCTATGTTTGGTATTATATGAAAACAATATTGTTTGATAAATATTAGTTTTCAGTGAAAATATTCACTTCCAAAGCAACATAGGATCATAAACCTTAAATGTAAGATTACATTGGCAAATTATTCTTAGATACTTTCTTTTTAGGAATATAATGGCTAGAATCATATTGAATCAAAAGATTTTTGGACAAGGGTAAATGATAACATCCTAGCAGGCTAGCACAATATGATAAAGTCAATTTTGCAGGCTAGAGAGAGGATGAAATGACAACAATTTGTAGCTACTGTTTACGGAAGTCAACTAACCTGCTGCAGTGCTCGGCGAAGTTGTTCACTCAAAGAGGCATTTTTTGCAAATTGATAATCACACATCCTCTTTGATATCTGTGGATTGAGACACATTGTTGAGTTATAGATTGTATTTCAACATAAATTACAAACAGCTTATTTGATTAACTATCATGGAGTGGAGGGAAGGGAGGGAGTCTACTTGCATTGTTCCCTCCCAATGTCCAGATACCCTAATATAATACTTGTTCAAAGTAAAATATACTGCTCTTGTTAACAATAATATCGAATTAGAGAGAGAGAGAGCAAGAGAGGAAACAAAATGCACCATATGCCAATCACTACCCACAGTGTCCCCATACATGACACATTCGATACCTTAAAAAGGGCTACATTGGAAAAGGGGAAGTTAAATTGTTAATCCCGCATTTGCAAATTAACTGTTCGGCATAGACCCTTTACGGGAGAGGCAGAGAATTCCGGTTATTCTTCCCATATCACAGCTATTGAGACTTTAAACTACTTAGATTATATTCATGGAAGACAAGGATAAAGCTCGACGCTAATGGCATCCTCATCATACAGCCAGATACAGAAATATTTCTAACCGTGGTTCTGCAAGTGAGTCCCACAACCACTGATTCACAGAAACTCTGCCCCTCAAAGGACAACAAAAAGAAAGTAAAACAGAGAAAGATCCCAAAACTTTTATTCCTATAACCTTAACTATCTAATAACCACAAAATTATCTCCCAAAATCTCAATTCCTATCAAAATTAACACACTCTAGAACACTTATTTCACTCAATTATGAAATTTTCTACACAAGTCTATCAAATTCGACACCGAAAATTACGGAAAAAATCACTTCAACAGCCAAGAACTAAGCTGCTATGTCACGTGCTTATGCTTAAACTCAACATAGACAAATTCAAGAAACATTTCTGTCAACCTTAGCCTAATAGCACAAAATGATCGCAATTCAACACCAAAAAAACCTACAAAAATCACAGTCAAATACTCAAATATAAAAATAATTTAAATTTAGATCAATATAACACAATTACACAGAAAAATGCATATAATCCACCCCAAAAATCAAGATACATTGCACTCAGAAACAACGAAAATTCAAACTTAGACAATCAAATTCAACACAAGAATCCTCAATCATAATCAACACAGAATCAAAAACAGAGAGAAGAACAAAGCAACGAACCTTATCAAGGGCAAAATTAGGGAAAATAAGCTTAGGAGTGAGAAAACGACCACAACAAGGGCAATCAGACTTGTTAAGAAGATGAGTGAAGATACACATATAACAGTAACTATGACCGCAAGCAGTGAGAAAAGCGTCTTTGATAATCTGCATGCAAATTGGGCAGAGAAAATCCTTGTCGCCGGCGATGGAATCTCCGCCTTCAACGGCGGTTTCATGCGGTGGAGAATCGGATTTCACATAAGGAACTAAAGCTCCTTCTCCAATGGAGGTTTCCGCCATTGTTGAAGATTTTCCGATTTCTTCGAGGGTTCCGAGAGGAGAGAGAAAGGAGGGAAGTTTCAGAGAAGAGAGAGAGAAGATTGACGTGTCAGAGAAGAAAGGAGAAGGAAATTTAAGAGAGAGAGAAAGGAGGAAGAATGAATGTGAGGGTGGAAACTGACCACGTTAATATGGCGGGTGAGTTTGTTCTTTGAAGAACAAGCATTATATTGAATAAAAATAAGATATTTTTTTCGAGGGAGGAAGAAAGGAGTTTTGTTTTTTCAGGTGGTTTTTATGTGTGTTTTTGTAATTAAAAATAAAAATAAGAATGAACAATGCGTATGGTACATACGTTCTATTAAAAAATAAAAAAATGTGGAATGAACATATTATCTCTGTTTCATATATTTTGCAATTTTGAGATATTATTTATAAGGTATAAAATATTCCGAAGTTGCAAAAAATATGAAACGGATGTAGTTTGATAAAAATGTAATGATATGGCTATAGTAAAAAGAACTTAAAATGTAATGAACATATACCTACAATGAAAAGAACAAACTGTTAAATAATGTTCTTTATAAAAAAACATGATGTACTTTATATTTGTTTATAATGTGCATTTAACTATTAATATTATGTTTTTTTTCATATGTTCATTATTATGTCAGATAATGATCTTTATTAAATATATTGATAAACTATTGTAAATGTCCACATTCTTTGATTGTTAGTGTAATATACTTTTATTTGTGACATAATGTTCATTGCTTATTGTGAAATGTGAATTTTTTCTTTACATTATGGTGGGTATATATAAATATTGTTCATTACATAATAATATCATGTTCTTTATTAATACTTTTTTTTTTTAAAGTGCCCATACTCCCATAGTGACTTGTCACGCATGCCGATGCAAAATTTTGAGCAATAATATCTTTAATAATCATTAACTATAAATTATAACAATTGAACATTAATAATCTACTTATTGAGACGATTTCAACAAGTACCCACAATACTATATTTTTTCTTATGTATAATTCATAAACATTGGTCAAAGTATGATTAATGAATAGTGCCAAAATTCCAAATGAGGCACTTAAAAAAACGGAGGGAATATTACAGATGTTCTTTAGATATACAAAAAAAAATATAAAGCTGGATGTTATTTACAAAATAGCTATATATTTTTTACAAAACAACTATATGTTTTTTTCGCTTTTTTTATAAAAAAAAAATTAAAAGGCTGGATATGTGCCAAGCTTGGTAGGTACATATGCCTGTACCATAAAAATTTCATTTTGTATTTCATTTCGTTTGGGGTATGTTAGCCTTTTATCGTATCGTAGATATGTAGAAATGTAGAATGATGCTTTGTGTCTACTTACTTATCGGTCTTGAAAAGTTACAATTATTTTGCGATATACTTCGTATGAAAATTTATTGGATCACCTGAAAAATATAAAAAATAAAATAAAATTTGTCGGAGGAAGATAGGAATTTTTCTTTTCTTGTGATTTTTATGTGTGATTTTGTATTTCATTTCCTTTGGGGTATTTTAGCCTTATATTGTATGGTAGGAATGTAGAATGATGCTTTGTACCTTCCTACCTAATCCGTCTTGAAAAGTTACGATTATTTTGAGAAATTTGAACAACTTATTGGATCACTCAAAAAATAGAAAAATAATGTGATGGTCGTTAGAAATAGAATAAATTTTGATAATCAAGCGGCAAATTTGTAAATTAAATCAACAACCTTTCATTAAATGCGGGTTCTATATTTGTTGATTTTATTATGAAAATGTCATGTGACTTGATAAAATTGTTAATTTATTTGCGAAAATGCTACTTGATTAACAATTTTTGTTTATCCCTGAAATAAGTTAGGATTCCCTCTTAGGAGTAAGATGTTATTTATAAAAATAGTGGATGTGGTTGAAAGGGTAACTTATGTTATTCATTGGTTACCTTCTTTTTGTATTTTGGGTTTTATTCTATCCATAGGTGATTCAACAAAACATATGTAGCTTTCTTGTTCAAACATTCATCACTCCTACAAATCAATCATAGTTTTGATCTCATTTGTATGTGTTGTGCAAAGGGTTTCAAAATTCAAAGGACTCTACTAGCTTATGTTGCCTTAGTTTCTTGTACTATGCAAAATCTTCTTTAAGTTTAATGATGGCTTTATGTAAAAAAGAAAAAAAAAAAAAAAAAAAAAAAAAAAAAAAGGGCATGACATGAGTGGGGATGAATGGAAATTGGAAAGGTGGAAGGGATTGAACTATTGAAAGAAGAAAGATCAAAATAGACAAGGTGTAGATGTACTAAATAACCGTGTGGCAGTCATTATGGAGGTTACTTTGTCAGTGTTATAGGGGTTACTTACTCGGTCATGGGTTACTAAGTCAATCAGGGGTTACTCGGTCAGTGGTTACTCACTCGGTCAGGGGTTACTAAGTCGGTCAGGGGTTACTTGTCGAGTCGTCGATTAGGGGTTACTTGATCTATGTCAGCTGGTCACACGGTGTGTCCAGCCACACATAAAAGTTGCTGAAATTATTTAGGATACATATCGTTGATTCTATCTAGAGTGATTCAAATAATGAAATCGGCTAACTCTAATTAAATGGTAGTAAAACTACGTGTAATTCTTATTTTTAGATGACAATTATTTTTGAACAAAAGAACAAAATTACAAATAGTTTAAAGTCATATCTTGGGTGTTTTTTAAGAGCGGGGTAGGGTAAGCAATATTTTTGCCTACTAATCATAGAGTATAAGATTAATGATATCCAACCACAAAAGTAGCTTACAATCTCACAATCACTCATTAATTCGTACATTAATGGTTGAATAGACTTGACAATAGTAGAGTTAATACCTTCCCATCATCGAGCTCCAACCACCTTTGATATATCCATGGTAGACAATTGAAAGAATAACGGTTGATTGAACATATGTGGTGACTTACTGACTTGACATGCAAGGTTAGTAAGGCACAGATCCTTCAAGAAGATGTCAATGATTAAGGTGGCAAAATTAGTGAGGTGTGGTTTCCCACCTGTTCAACACATTATATTGCAAAGTTAATGTAATTTGTTAGGGAACCCCACAATGACGGAAAATGAGTTTGCACTTCAAATCTTTAGCTTTGGTACTCTTCATTGTGGGTATATCGTATAAAAAAATAAAATAAAATATTGTTTTCACAATGAGAGTGCCAAAATCAATATTTGGAGTGCCGAGTACACCAGATGTTGCCCATTCGCCCAACTTAATGTAGCCAAGGAGTATAACAAACATGTAAGTGATGTAACTTGAGGTTTTGCAATGGAGCCTGGATCTCAGGTCTCTGTATTCTTACAATTTGCTGCTGTGAGTTTTATCAAACCTGCCTCGGCAAGGTGCTTTGTTATAAGCCACACTTCAACACATAAATATCTATCTCTAGACTATATAATCAAGCCAGATCATATTAAACAGATCTAGTACACAAGCATGAAGGTAACACTTCAACTAATCCGTATTTATAAAACTTTTAAGGTGCACATAAATTTGGCAGTCTAAAATTTATCTTATACTCTGAAAACACTACTCCCATTATCATAACTTCGTCGTCAATCAAATATGGACACCTCTTGTGACCCACAACAGTTTATAGTTAGGGTAAATAAGTTGGTAGCTATCCTATGGTGTTAGGTGTTACGAAGTCGGACCGAGATCGAGTCATGATAAGGGAAAAGGGGTAGACAGAAAGAGCAAATACCCCCAAAAGAGGTGTTTGCCCTGCATAGTTAGCTAATGAAGCCCGCAGTTTACCATCTAAAAAATCCTTAAAAAGGTTAGTCACTCTCACTCCACTAGTTTTGTGCCCCACTAGTTGGTGACTAGGTACAAAAGAGATGTGAACAAATCTTCAATGTATTGTAGACTCCACTAGAAACTTATCACAAACTATTCTTGATACCCTCAGATATTATGGATGTAGCAATCGACTTCTCAATTATGATTGAAGTTAACAGGAAACGCATCCTCCCCGAACCCCCCAAACAATCGAAAAAAAGAACCGAACAGTTCAGCTGAAAGTACACACATCAACCATCACATCAGTGCCTCCTCTAGGCATCCACTGGCCTGGGTATCAAACAGGCGCAAGCACCATTCATAATGTCCATACTTTCATAACTGTTGTCGTCGTCTTCATCCGCAATTTTTTGTTCACTTTCTCTCTAAACTTTGTCCTTCTCTATTAATTTGAGCCCACAAGAAACTTTACATAAGTAGCTGAAAATATCTACTCATGTATTCCTGTGGAAACCCTTCAACATTCCAAATGACCCCTTATCGACATGCATTGCATTAACATCGGCCACAACCTGGACCAAACGGTTCCTCCAGGAGGTCAAAAAGAGCTCCACAGAGGGGATAGAGACAAATATCAACCCACATTGCTTGGCATTATGTGTTATGAGGCTAAATCTCATAACATTCTAGCAAAGTCGAAAATATGCAGTAAACGATGTGCTATGTTATGCCAGTACAGTAATTTCTAAGCTGGACCTGTATCAATTACATTTACTAGTATGGCAAATAAATTTTCCAGAGAAACTTGATAATTATTGGAGTTGATCTTTCCACTACAGGACAAACCCAAGAGAAACTGGGACACCGAATATAACGACTGATGTGTAAGTGTGTGTATACCATAAGTGCACTAGCATATGCATGGTCTTATCACATAACACATAAAAGTAATCATAACTAACAAGCTTAATTGCAAATCACCCAAACACCTAGGCAAGATATGATAGGCCAATATCAAAACACTTGCCCAAAGGTGTTGTGACCAAACACATGTAATACCTACAAGGCAGATGCAACGTACCTTCCCTCTCCAGTCTCTAATTTTCGTTTCGGTAACGATTTTTTTTTGTTGCTATAGCTGTTGTAAGACTTGTGACTCTTAGATGATTATGCAGTACAAATACGTCATAATAGCACTACTGCAAATAATATTAGCAATCATAAATGTGTTCATGTCTATTAATTAAAATAATAGTATCAATATCTAGCCATCACAAGATTTCTAACAATCAAAACATGAAGTATTAATCTATTGCGTGCTCTAGAAGAGGACGCTAAGGGTGTGGCCTTACCACGCCATAAGAAATAAAATATATACTGCATGCTCTAGTGGACGCAATGTTCAATAGAGAAGCTAACACGGTAAGGATTCGCATAGCAGATTCAATACTTTAGAGGGAGATTTCAAGAAAATAACAGACAACCTTAAGAGTGGGACTTGCAAAGAATGATATATTCATATATCCATGGAAAGGGAACTCCGTACAAACTGCTGAGAAAGGGAAACTTTCTGGCTCAAGGAGAGTGTATATGTGTTGGGTTGGGGGAGGGGGGATGAGAAATCATTAGAGTCAGAGCAACTATCAGGTCAAGCGGTTTAGGGCGAAATCCAGTTTTTTGCTAGTAATAGAATTATAGAAATAAAAAAGACAAGACAGAAAATCCATGAGTAACGGTAAGGTCCGTAACATATAGCACCACAGAGAAGTAATTAAAGCTCCCCCTCCATCAAACTGCAACATCCTTCTGATCCCATGAAAAGTTTCTGATGCAACCCCAAAGGACCGGTTAAAAAAGAAAAGGGTATAAAAAGGACTGCAGTATATTAACATACTTATGAACCTGTATTATAGTTACATTCTTACGTGCTTGTAACATTTATAGAATTTACCTTAATCATGAAATGCAGGCATCCAAATTCTAGGGTAGATAGTAGGAACAGAAAAATCAAACAGCACTACGCCACTACAAAAAAAATTCCATAAAAAAACCTTTTTATTGCATTAAATGATTTCAGTGGCAAATTTTCTATCATTGTGATAAGTGCTGTTATACATGTATATTATCCTGTGTAATATTTTACTTACTCTTCGCAGGAGAAGTTGTAACTGATTTCTTTATACAATCTACTAGGCCTTCACAATCTTGAGACAAAACACATCCAGAATCATCAATACCTTCTATAGAGTGAGGAGAGCGGAGGTTCCCATGAGTTTGACAAGCCTTCATTGTCTTACAATGTTCAGCTTCGTCATCTCTGATATTTAGGAACACATCATACAAGTTTTCTGCAATGACAGACAATAATAAGCTAAAGCAGGCTATTTTTAATAGGAAAATTGCCCGAAATAATCTGACCTTTACCTCATCCGCCCAAAATAATCCCACCTTTCGATTATTTTTTAATAATCCGACCTTTGATGTCAATCTGCTCAAACCAACCGGTCATGTAACTTGTTATAACAAGTTACTTGACACGTGTTGACCTGTGATTGGTCAAAAAAATAAAAATAAAAGAAAATAATTTTTTTTAAAAAAAGTTATTTTTTTAAAGAAAAAAAATTATTTAACAAAACCACCCCACCAGCCAAAGCCACCCTCCCCGCCACCTGACTACCCGTCCCCGCAGCTCCGGCCGCCTAATCCCTCAACCCAGCGCCGGCACCTCCCCTGAAAACCCAGGCAGCATTTTGGATTGCACCGGCGAGCAATAACCATCCCTCCCACCCTCGATTTCGGAAAACCCCATCTCGATTCCGACAACTCTGTCGTTCCCCCGTCACGATTCCGACACCTCTGTCGTTCCCCCGTGGCCCGACAGTAGTGACGACGATGACACATCTTGCGTCGCGAGCTTTGATCTCACGGTGGGTGGATGCAATGTGACGGATATTCGGTGACTGGGGCTAGGGGAATGGGTGGTTGGGTGGCTCCCGGTTTTTTTTTTTAATTTAATTTTTTTTAATTTAAAATTTTAGACGAATTCTACGGTGACACGTGTAAAAAATTTACCTATTTAACAGGTAACCGGTCACTTGGGACCATTATGAGCAGATTAAGTATAAAGGTCGGATTATTAAAAAATAATCAAAAGGTGGGATTATTTTGGGCGGATGAGGCAAAGGTTAGAGTATTGTGGGCAATTTTTCCTTTTTAATATGCCATGTTGAAAAACTTAAAAGCATGCTAGAATGAAGAATATGCAATTCAGTTCATATCGTACATAACTACATACCATAGAAATACATAAATATCAATTTTAATTTGCATTTTAGGAATTGGAAGACACAACAATAGGCAATACTGCAGCAACATAGTCATGTTGGAAAATGCTCAATGTTATACTCCTTGAACATCCCCGCTGCCTCCCCAACCCCAATAAAATGGTTTTGCCAAATACAGCCTTAGGTTACAAAACTATGGACAAATCATAAGCATTACAAAATCATAAATAATTCCTGATATGGAAGTTGGAATTTTATGAAACATTATGGATTGTTTGGTCATTTTGGGACTAAGTCTTTGTTGTTGTTGTTGTATTATGCATTCTATGGTGTAATTAAATTGATTCATAGTTAAGCTTCCTATCCATAGCCCTTGGGATTGCGTTTACCATTTTAAGAAATAAAGATAAAAAAAGGGGTGGGTGGGAAACCATTGCTCCTACAAGTAATATTATTCTCAATTTGAAGGGGCTAAAGCCACAAAGGACCTTTTGTTTTATAGCAAGACAATAGCAATAAGCAATAAATTTAAACAAGGAATGACTTCCAAAGGATTCTCTAGCAATTAACTTTGTCTAGCTTATTTACTAATTTTCCACTTACACCAAGAGTGAATTGATACAGCAAAAGGTTGACATTTTCTTCAATTTTAAAAAATAAGATATTCCCATTTCATTTATTAACATGCAGCAATATTTATAATATCCACCCGTCTATATAGAAGTTATGACCTATAGTACTCGGACTTGGATACAGGTTTCAAACTCGAAACATATCCAAGAGTGTAATGTGAAAAAAGCTCAACTGGAGGATACTCATAAAATTGATAATGTCTAAAAATACTAAATGGTCACGGATACAAGGTACACAGTTAATGCCATTAAGATAACTCAACCAACCAGTTTTCTAAGGTCTTAATAGAATGATTGTTAAAACTTAAAAGTCAAGTATGATGCAAGAAAAAAGGCAAATCCAGAAATTACCAATTTTTGGTCTTCGAGAACAGGGAACTCTGGAGGTTTGAAATTCATCTGTGAATATAAATAGCTACAGTGATCAGAATACTATATACTTTGGGCCGAGGAACCTGATATGGAATCTACGGACTTACCAAACAAGTACAAGTCACCTCCAGTATAGTACTTCACAGCCACATCCGGCGCAGGTAACTTCTTCAATTCATCTACACGAGAACAAGATTAAATATCAACATTTACTACAGAAACTATCAATTGTGAATCAGCATAAGGGGAAAATGCATAAACAAGGTCGTTCATTATATAATCACTACAAATTCAGAAACTACCAAATGAACACAACTGGAGAATAAGGTGCAGATGTAGGGAAAATAGTGGAGAATAATTATTTGCACCAGCCAAACTTAAAAGCAAAAGTTGCCTAACTCACCTCCTTGGACCTTGATAAACTTGTCATAAGTTTCAAATGCATGATTCTCGACACATTCAGAGAAATGATCTGCATAAAGTACCCACATTGGATACATAAGTTGTAATAAAAATCAACTTTCAAATAAAGTAAGATATAAAAGCCCAAAGCTTATCACCACAACCTTTAATTATTAAGAAGCAACGAGAAGTCAGAGTGAGATGGATAAAAGTGAAAAATAATGCAGCACCGCACAAGGATCTAATTACTTACAAGCCATTCTCGGACTGATAATATACATGCCAACCGTCATAAAGTAATAAAAGACAGCGATATGCTGAGCAAGAAAACGGTCAAACCACCAAGCATTTCCCCCCAATTCCTGCATTAACAGAAGAGAATTCCGTAAAAAAATATATTTCAGATAAGAATAACTTTCAACAACCACCACCAAAAAAAAAAAAAAAGGATTTTTGACAGAGCCAATAAAGCTTTAAAGACATCAATCAATCTCTCTGTAGGCACGGACACTAGAGATGACACAAGCATGTCATCCTCACTTTTCAAGCCATTGCTCCCTACATTCAATCCAAGAATTTTACTCCTAGCATATGATGGAGTATAAGCAATCATTGCATATTTGGAGGTTAAGTACAAGGATAAAAAAAAAAAAAAAATCAATCCAAATTCTAAATACAGAACTGGGATTCATGCATCAATTATAATGCACAAAAAATGTGGGACTCAAACGCTTTGATTGTGCTTCCACATAACCTCACCAACTACCTTAATGATGCAACTGAGCAGACACGATTCCAGGCCATTTATGAAAGACCGTAGCACCTTAATATAGTAACACCAACCAGTCGGGATAATATTCATACTAAGAAGCATATAGACATTCAAGACACCTCTAGCACACAAACACATATAAGAACAAAACAGAAGAAGACTATTTCTGGTAAGGAAGTCAAACAAAAGCCTGACTGTGAAACTGCCACAATCTCTCCTACATGTTTAAACTATGCAAAAGCCTGACTGTGAAACTGCCACAATTTCTCCTACTACATTAAACACAGGCCATATTAAACTGCCACAATCTCTCCTAGTGCATACAAGTGAAGATAGGCCATGTACCCACAGGCTAGTGCATACAAGTGATGATAGGCAAGCTAGCAGATGTACAGATATCACAGCCACTCACTGTATGTATAACCAAGCAAAATCCCAGAAGAACCTACCTCCATGATCAGAAGATGGTGCATTTCATTCCAGCTCTCAGCAAAATGGACTTTCAAGTAATCAGCTCTTCTCCACCAACCAAAGCTTTCATACAGATGTAGCACAGATATAAATGCTGCCAAGAGAACAGTCATTTTTCAAAACGTATAGTGAATTCTAAATAAGTATATTTTTGACAATAGGAAGGAAGACTTTTTAAAAAAAAAAAAAAAAAAGGAATGGAGATTTATTAAAGCTTATTTAACCAAAAAGTGTATACAAAAAAATTTTAAAAACTAAAAAAAAATCCACCCCCATATCAGGAGAAGAACAGAGTATCACATTTACCAATCTATAAAATAAAAGCTTCAAGGCAACATAGCTTTACTAGATTATTTTTTATTTTATTTTTAAATATTGATACTAATCAATTTCTGAAAATAAGTGAAACAATTTCAATAAGAGGGTGTGAAGGCAGTAATTCCTTCAATGAGACAATCAAATCTCAACTTAATTTAGTTCTTCCTTTGAGTGCTATGTTACTCTCCTCTTTCTTTGAGTGCTACGTTCCCCTATTTGTATTAGTCTATACATATATGGTTATTAGGTATACTAAGCATAGTCTCTTCTTTCTAGGAGTGATTCATATGATATAAAAACTTCTCAAGTTTTCCATCATTGGTTTGCAATATATTTAAGGAATTATCTTCAAAATATGCTAGAAATGGCCAAGTAGCCTTTCAGATTTGTTCATCGAGCTATACTAAGAAAACAATATGCTTGCAGGATGCACAATCTATATAATTGATTTCCGTGTTATAAGACATGTAGAAATAACAATTACACAAAGAAACGAGAGGCCTCACCGAAATACGGAACTCTTGCAACAGTTTCCAGGACAAAGAACCTTGCATAATTTCTGTCACGATATAAAGTATCAAGTATCTTTATCACTGAGTCCTGCAACAATTATAGAATTCAAGTTACAATTAAAAGGATAAAAGGTTGAACTGTCACCTCTTGACTGTTTAGTGCACCTCAACACTATCCAAAACAATGTCTAATAGGGATTCATTATAGAGCTGAAGAAGCCCTAGTGCAACAATGGGTGGAAGAGTAATCGTAAATCAAAGAAGATAAAAAACAAAAAAAAAAAGTGGTAAGGGACTCTGGGTAATACTAGAAATGCTGTGCGTTATTGGCAAGTAAATATCAGATGACATTCAGTATATATATGATGAGAACAAATTAAGAAGATACACTTTTTGTATGCAACAGAAATATATATGATAAGAATGCAAAAGTCCAATGGCCTAAATAAGATCCAGCAAGGTTCCAAATTAGTGTAGAAGACTCTCATCTCAGATGGCAGTAACATAAAAATAAACATGCAGAAAAGAACTGTTTCAAAATTGCAATGAAACCTCTTATTTGAAAAGGCAGTACAGTAGTATTTAGCTAGATGAAGAAACTAACAAGGAAAAAAGATTACCGTGAGGGTGATATTAATAGACTGTTCTAACTTGATGATCCATCTCTCAAAACCATTGGGTGTTGAATCTTTCAACGGCATTGCCTCACTGTTTCCCTTCTCTTCATTATCTGCTAAGGTCTTTGGTAGAAAGGACTCCTCTACTTCTACTTTCTCCTCATCATCTTGCAAAATTGTAGCTTGGATGTGGAATTTGGAAAAATTGCTACAGATGTCACAAGTAGCATATTAGAGGAGAATGTATAGGTGGAAGGATACTGATCCTACAAGACAGAAATTAAGTAACCAAAAAATAACCCTCCAAAATTCGAAAAATAGCATAAGGTTTTCTTTTATAACTGATAAATAGATAGACAAATGAATGTAAAGATATTTGAATGAGGATTGCGCCCTACAGTTAAGGATCTCCAACCTTACTTGCCACAAGACAAAGATAAGTCATAAGATTAGGAGCTCCAAACAATTGAGAATAGAACCACAGACAACTTATGTAAAATATCTCAAACTTAAATAAAGACAACCAGGCATAAATAACGGCGTGCTGGAAAACTTATGATGTGAAATATAAGACTTGGTTCAATCTTCAATTGGAAAAAAATGAAACTGATTTACGATTAAGCAATAACTATAGCCCCAAGGACTAATGCTTCAAACCCATTAAACCTTGTACCAGGTACTTCCTAACTGAAGGATTTGCACTTGAACGAAGTATCTAAGACTGTTCATCACACTACTCCTAATACAAGTTATGGCACCTAAGTCATTCTTTGTTCGATAAATTAGTTACTACAAGCATACTAAGCAAAGCTATTACCCCAACAAACTAAGAAACAAGCTACCATTAATCATGCTACAAGACCAAGTCATTACTTTGATCACTAAAGGAGAACTACAGGTAAACAAAGGAGGTCTCATAACATATATGAAGTACTACATATGAACTATTAATGAATAATTGACCACAATGGAAGGTAGTGAAATTACAAATCTGGACCCCTTTTTTTGGGTGGGGGACAACCTACTTCAGCATTGAAATACGGAAATCCATGGACAAATTTGACCCTTCAATCCGATTCAATAAGTTCAGCTAAGTACTGAAATCTAATTAAATCTTTCATCCAAAGTTAGGACTTTGGGCAGATTTAAACCCGATGTTCAATTAACCAATTATGTAAAATTTTGTTATACTAATAAGAAACTTTAGAATCCTATGATAATTTCATTTCACATAGGTGCGAGGTATTCAATTGAAGACCAATTTCCCAATGGATCATGTGAAATTTTAGCTTGAAGATGATGGCTTTCAATCAAATTCCATTTTGAGTTCATGATCCCACTTAAGGCACCTTGTTTAATACGTAGTACTTTATACCCATTACCAAATTTCTGGACACCAATAAAGGTTAGAAAAACCTATAGTTGATAAGAAGTATTGGCTCAAAAGTCTGCAAATCTTGGTAGTATAAGCAACTACAGATCCTAGTTGTTAGGCATAGACGCATAGTAGAGAATTACATGTACAAAAGTTCCGGAAAAACCTACCTTCAAGTTACAATTTTCTAAGTGCTCATCGAACAAATGCTTACCAGCTGAAAGTGAGAGCTGTCAGCTGTGCATAAAGGTCAATTTAAGCTTCTTCTAAAATTATGTTCCATGCATTTTAACATTCTCAGCTGTATACTCTCTTTACTAATACTACTCCGTATAATCTAATCTCTTTACAGTCCCAATTCTCCCAAACACCTCCTAAATCATAACCTTGCCTACAACTTGACTTCCAGAGTATACAATAACTTTCAATTTACTAGCATAATTTCACGATAAATTTCCTGTAGCCAACACTGTATTCCCTAATGGACTGATGTAGCAAACACTCTCCTTAGTCGCCAATTATCGAAATTAGAACCTTCCAAAGCAAACTATGAAAGATGACTGCTTAAAATTTTTTTAACCTATTATTAACCTAAAAAACTACTAGTACATACTGTATTTACTTAATCCTATTGAACTCAACAAACACTTAATAATAAGAATTTCCTAAAACAATTAGCTTAAGATAACATTCATCATCAATCTAGTAACAACAGAAAATCAAAGTTCATCCAACAAAATAAAAAACAGAAGCTTCAAGTTCTTACATCGTCAAAAAAAAAAAATTCTTACATCGTCACACTTGTAAGTTGTAACACCAGAAAGTCTAAGCTTATCTTTTAAAATCAACAACAAAAAATTGCAACATAAAAATGACAATAAACAATTACAAAACCTTACATAATTACACTTTAACTGCAGAAAATTCAAGTTTATCCTTTAAAATCAACCAAACATTGCAACAACATCCTTTAATTGCGAAACAAAAAAAATTAACGATAAACAATGACAAAATCTTACAGCACAAAATTCAAGTTTATTAGCAAAAAGTTGCAACACCAAAATAATAACAATAAACAATTACAAAATCAATTTAACATGCAAAGTCCACTAAATATTACAGAAATTGAACGCAAAATTGAGAAATACCTAGAAATTAATCGACGAGAAGAAAGACGAGTGGAATTGAGAGAATTAAATCTGCGTAAAGGAACTAAGGAGCTGAAAATCGCGGAATTTCCAGAGATTCTAGATGATTTTACAAAGGTTGTTGCAGAAGTTGAAGGAAGAGAGAGAAATGCCGCCATTTTCTCTCTCCTCGATGAGATTTTTTTGAGGAATAAAATAAAAATGGAATGTTTCTGAGTTTAAAACGCAGAATAAAGGCGGTAAACGACGGCGTTTGCTTGATGATTGCTCAATTTGACGTCGTTTTACGGTGGTTTTGGCGGCGTTGTTGAATTTTCCGGTTTTGATTTTGCAAGAAAATTAGTGAGCTACGTGTTTGAATATTCTCTTAAAAAATAAAGGTTGGGCCAAGGTTTCGTCATAAATATTAGGCCTATGTGAGGTATGGGCTCATTTTGGAAGTGGGAATCCAATCGTTATCCAATCTATCATCTATCTATAATTTATTTATTATTTTTTATTTTTTTTCTTAAGATTGATTAATAAATAAAAAGTCATACGACATCTACAAAGAGATTTAAATTTAATAAATACATGAAAATTGAATCAAATAAAAACTTCCGTTCCGCAAACCTAAGATCGTTATTGCAAATCGTACATTCTTCATACCCTCTTTTATATCGCTGTGATTTACAGCCTTTTTCAACGAGGGGTCTATCGATCCGTTGTAGTTGTGAAGAAAATTTTCGTCTGATTCATCTGATTGTAGTTGAAAGATTAACCTTTTTTTCGATCCCGCACAAATCTTTACCCATGAAACAACTTGTAGCATACTAAACTCAAAAAACAAAAATAAAAACAAAACTAAAATAAAGCCCACCATAGGGGCACTTTCTACTATACACTCAAACCCACTATAGGGTACTTACTACCTTCAAAGAGTATAGATTTATGGAACTCAATAACAAAACCATAAAGAAACTAAAAGGAAAGGGTCGAAAATATTCAAATTTCTGGCCTATAAAACACTTTTTTGAAGAACCCTATAGTAGAGAGAAAAATAGAGAGGAGACGGCTAGGGTTTTTTTAGAGAGAGCATCATCTATTTATAATACTATACTAAAGCGATTTTTTTTTCCTGCAAAAGACCTTAAAATCCCTCCCATTTTCTTTATTTTTTATTTTTTATTTTTTTTAACCTACCTATTTTTTTTGTTAAGAGATATTTATGATTGTTTTTTTAACCTTTATTATCTACCTATTTTTTAGTTAAGAGATGTCTATGGGTTTTTTTTTTAACATTTATCACCTACCTATTTATTTGGTTAAGAGTTATTAATTATTGTTTCACTTCTAATATAATTGCTATAAATATTACTACTGTATTATACAAGCCAAATCTACAATAATATTCCATACATAGTATATTCAAGTTTTTTTTTTTTTTTTTTTTTTTTTTTTGCATATATTCTAATAAAAAATATGTTAATACTAACTTGTTTTTCCATAAATGTACTAAGTTAACATCCTGGGCATCGCACGGGTGCTACCTAGTTTCTTGAATATTATTGTAGGCTTATAGCTACGAAAACTAAGAAAAACTCGATAGTGAAACTGCTCTACGTAAATAATTTTATGTTAAGGAGAATGACGGAGACAATAAGGTATAATAAAAATACGATGTTTGTCTAAGATCATGTAAAAAAATTCCTTTAAAAAAATAAAAGCTCATGTAAAATATGTATATAGGTCTTTATGTGTGAACACTATTATATATGAGAACTAATCATAACCATTAGATCCTAAAAGATCCAACTGCTGAATTGCTCGCATAATAATGGCAAAAATGTAATTTACAACCTAACAAACCTTTCTCTAAAAAAACCAAAAAAACCAAAAAAAAAAACCAACATCACACATTAGTTCTTTCTTTCTCCTGAAAAAAGTTACCGACCTTCTTTCTCTCTCTCCAAAGCTTGAAGGTGGACATCAATGGCTTGAAGTTTGAAGGATCGCTACTTTCTCCCTCCTCTTGTTCACTCATACATAATTTTGGTTAGTAATTTTCGAATTTCATGCTCTTAATTTTGGTTTTTCGTCCATATACTTGTTGCTAATCAGAAAAACAGAGTGAAGAAACTACGAGCTTCAATTTTAATGAGATTCAAGGATTTCGAACACAATTCCGTTCGATTTTTGTTAGATTTCAGCAACAACAAGAATCAACAAGCTTCATAGTTTATACAAGTAAATAATCAACACGATTTCTGTTCGTTATTATTGAATATACTTTTCTTATTTTTGGTCAATAATTTTCGAATTTCATGGTTTTAATGTTGAATTTTCGTTAAAATTTTATCAATAGTGATCTTAATTTAATATTTGATGTTATAATTTTTTATTTTAGTGTTTTGGAAAATTTCGAATTTGAATGCTCTTATTTTCGTTATTCGAGTTTGACATTATGATTTTTGCTATATTTTTTGAGTTGAGTGTTCTCAATTTATGATTTTCAATAAAAAAAAAACATGTTACTTTTACGTTAAATAAAGCTAGTTTTCGTGAATTTTCCTATTGAATGTTCTTATTTTGTAATTATTTTTGTCATATCATTTAACCTTAATGTTATAAATTTGATAAATTCAATAGAAGAGATGTAAAATGAGCAAACAGAATTAAAATGAGCAAACTAAACATGAAAAGTAATATAGTAAAAATAAAATGAGCAAACAAAACTAAAATGAGCAAAATGAATTTTCTTCTGTTGTCAAATCATTCAACCTTAATGTTATAAATTAAATAATTTCAATCAAAGATATGTAAAATGAGCAAATATAATTAATATGAGCAATACATAAATAAGCATAATGATTTTGTGTTATAAGTTTGATATAATTACTCAAAGCTATGTTTTCTTTATTAGTGTAAACTGATATATTTAAATTAAATTTATTGGGGATTACTTTGACTACATGGGTAACCATTCTTGGTTTTAAAAAAAAATTGAGTAAAAATTATTTATTCATATATCAAATGAGCAATCAATTCTTCGCTCATTTATCAAATAATAAAACAATATTTTGCTCATTTATCAAATGAGCAAACAATTCTTTGCTCATTTATCAAATGAGCAAACAATTCTTTGCTCATTTATCAAATGAGCAAACAATTCTTCGTTCATTTATCAAATGAGAAAACAATTATTTGCTCATTTGATAAATGAGCAACAATTCTTTGTTCATTTTGTCAAATGAACAACAATTCCTTGTTCATTTATCAAATAAGCAATAAATTTGTTGCTCATTTATTAAATGAGCAACAACTTTTTGTTCATTTTGTCAAATGAGCAACAATTCCTTGTTCATTTATTAAATGAGCAAACAATTATTTGCTCATTTATCAAATGACCATACAATTCAAATGAGCAACAATTCTTTGTTCATTTTGTCGAATGAGCAAACAATTTTTTGTTCATTTATCAAATGAGCAACTTAGGGTTAAAAATTTATAACATAGAAAAATGATTTAAAACATATTTAGAGATTTGGTAGAAAATTTTAAAGAATAAATAAATAAAGCTTAGAACAGTTGTAGTAAATTTTAGAGCATATTTAGTAAATTTTTGAACCTATATGCTAAAAATATTTATAACATATGATAAAATCTATTAGCTCAATTGGTAGAGCACTATGCAAATGCATAGGGGATGTAGATTCAATTCCTACATAGGTTATTTCTATAAAAAAAAAAATTAAAAAGATTAAAAAAAATCAAATTCGCATTAAATTATACGAGCAAAAAATTGGTTTGAAATGATTTATAATTATGTAAACTTTGTTACAACTAAACTGTCATATAAACGCTTGTCTCCACATTACACAAATGAACCTACGTGAAATTCGAACCCAAATATTTTGTGCATTTGCACAATGCTTTACCTGTTGAGCTAGTAGGTTAATGCAAACTAAATTCAAATGAGCAAACTGACATAAAATGAGCAAACTAAATTCAGATGAGCAAAGTAAAATTAAAATGAGCAAACTGAAATAAAATGAGCCAAAACACATATAGTAAAAATGCATAAATGAAAATCAAATGAGAAAAGGTAAGAGATCTTAGAGAGAAAGTAATTAGTGCTACAGGAAGAACAAGAATTAGCAACAAGTTTTTGCTCATTTATCAAATGAGCAAACAATTCTTTACTCATTTGTCAAATGAGCAAACACTTCTTTGTTCATTTATCAAATGAGCAAACAATTCTTTACTCATTTGTCAAATGAGCAAACATTTCTTTGTTCATTTATCAAATGAGCAAACAATTCTTTACTCATTTGTCAAATGAGCAAACATTTCTTTGTTCTTTTATCAAATGAGCAACGATCCTTTGCTCATTTATCAAATGAGCAAACAATTTTTTTGCTCATTTATCAAATGAACACACAATTTTTTGCTCATTTATCAAATGAGCAAACGAGTCTCAACTAGTACAAAGTTCATTGCCTCAATGGGGGCTTCCTTAATCCATACACGCAGACTGTCATAATTTTTACTGAGGTTGGCAAGACAATAAGCCACCTTATTGCCATTTCTGCTTACACGACTAAAGACAACATCAATAAAATTTTTAGCTAGCTCAAGAATATCTTTGATTATAAAACCAAAACTTGTATTCTTATGTATGTTGTTCTTCATATGTCTGTACACCTTGATGTTGTCTGTTTCTAACACAATTTTTGCAAGACCCGCTTCAATAGCTATTTGAAGGGCATGTTTTGCAGCGAGAGCTTTAGAAATAACAACCTTCTTGCCTCCCCTTACTCGCAGGACAGTAGCAGCCATAATGTCCCCCTCATAATCCTTTATTATGCCCCCAAAATCAATATGACCATCATTTAACATTGCAACATCCGAGTTAACCTTATCCAACCCACCTTAGGCTTCTCTCATTTCTACACAACAGTAGAAGCACCCAGATTAACAGTTGATGTAGCTTCATTGGCTTTCTCATACTCTCCAATTATGCTTGTTTGGGGGTTTTTTATGTGTCCTACGGGAGAGTTACAATTTCCTAGTATGCTCCTTCCTTCGCATGTACCTGCACAAATAACGGAATACTCCGGCTGGGGCTGGGTTGTTCTGCCTCCGAAGATTAAGTTAGTCTCTTTCTACATGTGGAAATAAGACAATGAATGCTTCTCGATTTGAGAGCGTTTGCAAGGGGATTTGTGTTTTGTTGGTTTGTGGGGAAATGATTCGATCCCCATTAATGAGGTCTGCCCTTACTATTTATAGTAGGGAGAACTGTACCTCAATTAGGGTAAAATGACACGTGTCGCAAAGGGATTGGGCCTTTGCTGACCGTTGCAAGCTTGACACGTGGCAGGCCTTTATTGGGCCACGTGTCTTAGGGTATTTTTACCCTAAACATCTGCCCCTCATAGGTGTGACGTGGAATGTCCACGTGTCACCTGTGACAAGTGTCAGACGCATGGGAGGAGACGGTTCGTCTCCTTCCCTCCTTTTTTCAAATTTCAAGTTTTTAGGGCAGAAGGCATCGTTTCGCCTTCTGCTCCTTCTATAAATACAAGACACGCTCTCTCTCCTCCTCACTTTACATATTTTTCAAAAAAAATTTCTGAGAGCGCTCTGCTACCGGCTGCATTATTTCCTTAGTTTTCCTACATCTGGCACTTTCAAATTACGCACATCCGGCGACCGGTTGGGTTCCCTTTCTTCAGTATCTAAGGTACCGGCTGCCCTTTTTCTTTTTTACTTTAGCTTTTGACGATTTCAAACATTTCAACCCATCCGGGTTTCATGCCGCCTGGGGGGCCTTTAACCCATATCCCATTTCTTGAATCTTCTCCCTCAGCCGGCATAGCCCCGTCTGAGGGGTTTTCAACTTTTAAACATTATGCATTCTAAACACCCCCATCCGGATTATCACCGTCTGGGGGGTGTTTGAACCTTCAATAAATTTATCCTTTAACACCGCCTGGGGTACTTCTGAGTTCATCAAGAAATGATTTCAAAAACCCCAACCGGTTTGGATTTTTCAAAGTTTTTAAGATGCGCTCAATGCACCCCCATCCGGCATTTTACCGCATGGGGGTTATTTGAGCAGCATTTGCTTAATCAACATTCAAATAACTCCCATCCGGTATATAACCGCATGGGGGTGGTTTGAGCAGCCTTGGCTTTCTCAAATATCATTCAAATAACCCCCATCCGGTATATAACCGCATGGGGGTGGTTTGAGCAGCCTTGGCTTTTTCTCAAACAACATTCAAATAACCCCCATCCGGTATTTAACCGCATGGGGGTGGTTTGAGCAGCCTTGGCTTTTTCTCAAACATCATTCAAATAACCCCCATCCGGTATATAACCGCATGTTTGAGCTGCCTTGGCTTTTTCTCAAACAACATTCAAATAACCCCCATCCGGTATTTAACCGCATGGGGGTGGTTTGAGCAGCCTTGGCTTTTTCTCAAACATCATTCAAATAACCCCCATCCGGTATATAACCGCCTAGGGGTGGTTTGAGCAGCCTTGGCTTTTTCTCAAACATTCAAATAACCCCCATCCGGTATTTAACCGCATGGGGGTGGTTTGAGCAGCCTTGGCTTTTTCTCAAACATCATTCAAATAACCCCCATCCGGTATATAACCGCCTGAGGGTGGTTTGAGCAGCCTTGGCTTTTTCTCAAACAACATTCAAATAACCCCTATCCGGTATTTAACCGCATGGGGGTGGTTTGAGCAGCCTTGGCTTTTTCTCAAACAACATTCAAATAACCCCCATCCGGTATATAACCGCATGGGGGTGGTTTGAGCAGCCTTGGCTTTTTCTCAAACATCATTCAAATAACCCCCATCCGGTATATAACCGCATGGGGGTGGTTTGAGCAGCCTTGGCTTTTTCTCAAACATTCAAATTGTACCCATCCGACATATAACCGTATGAGGGTTGTTTGAGCAGCCTGTAGCTTTTTCTCAAACATACAAATAGACCCCATCCGGAATTTAACCGTATGGGGGTCTTTTGAATGAGTCCATTTTATATATCTGATCCATTTTTCTTTATTTCAGCTTCAAACACATTCGGAGACTTCCGCCTGTGGAGGTTTCAAGCCATCATCTTAATCCAATCTCAATTTTCTAAGGTACCGCCTGCATCCCATACTTGTCACATTCTTTTATTTCCGGTTGCATAGCATTAGGATATGGACTCCACCAATACACACACAGCACAGCCTACGACTGTGGTCAGCCGGTCACCAGGGACGGCTGAGTCTAGGACTGGGATTGTCGTCTAGGGGTGCTTGGAACAACCTTCACCTACATCGAATCCGACCGTCTCTGTTCATGTGCAGGACAGAATGACTCGGATCAGAGTGACGGCAATCGACCCTGACTACCAGTCCGATGATGCAGCCGCTGACCCGACTGTCCCTATAAATCAAGAACAAGCCGAGGAACCGGCTGAGGAAGGTCCTAATGAGGAAGTTCCACAAAATTCTCCAAGTACATCTTGCACCCCGGGTGACAGTATCTTGGATAGCTCTGGTTCCAATGGTGAGGAATCCGGAGAGGAAGCCGGCGAGGAATCCGAAGAGGAATCCGGAGAAGGGTCAGCCGGTAATGAGGAGTCTGACCCTGATGAAGAGTCTCCTGAGACGGCCGACCCGGTAGACCAAGAAGCTTAAAAGTGGCCGGCTGCTGGTGACCCTACTGACATGACCATGTCTGCCAGAGATGTGGTTACTCTAAACGCTACGCTCCTTGCTTTCTTAGAGAAGAAACCGGTAGGGGAAGGCTGGGAAGTGGTTGTCCCGCCTGTTGAGGCAAGCGTCGTATGGACCGACGATGTAGACAATGCCGACAACTATTTCGGCTGCTATGAGGCGGCATTCACAGCCGGCCTCCGTTTCCCCCTTCACCACTGCATCAAAGCCATATTAAGGGGGTACGATTTGGGCGTATGGCAGTTGACCCCTAACTCATGGGTCAACATACTTGGATACATTGCCGCCTGCGAGATGCAGGATGTCAAACCCAGCTGGGAAGCCTTTGCGCACATGCATTATCTCAGCAGGGCGCCGGGTGGGTGGAACGCATGGTATACGCTGACCACGCACCCGGAGTATATGATGACATTGGACAAACCGTCCAAATGGAGTAGCTGGAAGAGCAAATTTTATGTCGTCTCTTCTCCATCTTCTCAACTTAATCTCCGGCTGCGTAGATACAATATGATTAGGGGATTTTTATCCACCAATCAGCATCCGACACGTGGGCCAGCCAGGTTTCGCCACGTGTCCTTCATATAGGCCGATAGGAGCCTGCCACATGTCATCAAGAGATTCGTCCTCCTTGGACCAATTGCAATGTGACACGTGTCCACCCATGCCAAATGGGAAAACCGGCCAACAAGGCCCAATCATTGTGGGAGGCCCAGTCAGCCTTAGGTTTAACCTAAACCTAGTACTGGCACGCATCCCAAGGCATATAAATATGCCCATTAATCCTCATTAAGGGAGATTACACACATTTAACACTCTCACCTAGAGAGACCCAATTACTTTTATTTCCGCATTAATTACTCCTTAATCAAGTACTAACTTGACCGTCGGAGGCGGATCTCCAATCGTCCGGAGCATCCGTTTGTTTTGCAGGTGCATGCGTCCGGTTCCAGTCTCAGAATTGTAACTCTCCCGCAGGACATCAGAAAACCCCGAAACATCTTGGCGCCGTCTGTGGGGAGAGTACTTCTGAGATGGCATCCACGTCTGTACCGACTCCTGAAGAGAGGCGTCCCCTAGACGACCCTCAAGTTCAGTCGATCCATGATACTGAGGAAGAATTTGAAGTTGAAGCTCACACAGCTTCAGACGGGACCCTAAGGGCCCGACGCACCCGTCATACCGAAAGGAGAGAACGGGAAGATCTCCAAACTGGACTCAGTGATCCAGCCGGCGCACCGCCTGTTCAGCAGCAGCCGGCTGATGGGTCTGCTCCCATTGCAAGAAACGAACTCATGACCTTCATGAGGGGCTTCAAGGGAGAGATTCAAGAGTTTCTCAACAAGAAGCCGCCTGCTCTGGCCAAGGAGCAGTTGGCTAAGAAACCTTCCTCTTTAGGGAAGAGGAAGCCTGTTCAAGGGCGAGAGGCGACCCCTCATCCTAACTCTAGGAAGTGGGAGCCGCCTGTCCTTGATTTCACAAAGTACCGCTTTCCTACTCCAGGAAAGAGGAAACATGTTCGTCATGTTCAGGCGGACGGGTCGAAGAAAACATACACAGATGCTCGGCTGTTGCTAGAGCAGAAGAAGAATGACCGATTGTCAGAGTCGGCCTCTACTTCAGACTTCCAAGACAGTCTACGCAATACCTCGATGAGGTATACTCAGTCGCATCATGAGAGTCAGTCAGGCGGTACCTCCCGTCATTCCGGCTTTCATAGTGACCAGGCGATACCAAACTTACCATTTGTACCGCAACAACAATATTTTTTGCAGCCACCTCTGTTTGGAGGGCATGCAGCAAAGAATGTCCAACCTATGGACTGGCAGCTACGGTTTCTTAGACATGGGGAACAGTCGTCGGCCTTCTCCAAGGAAATTACTTAAGCCGCTCAGCCGGCCAAAGTGAAAAATGTATTAGTAGGCGCCTATGATGGCACTACTAACCCAGAAGACCATTTGATGGCATTCACCAACCTGATGTACCTTCAAGGGTTGGATGATCCCACTTGGTGCAAGTGTTTTCCAGCGACTCTCAAAGGAATCGCACAACAATGGTTCGGCAACCTGCCGACTGGTTGTGTGAATAACTTCAGGACGCTTGCTTACTTATTCACCTCCAACTTTGCCATGAACATACCTGCGAAGAAGACGACCC